AGTGGCCTTGAGATTTTGGAATTCCACAATTTTAACAAATATGGAGGGATTTCTGCCCAAAACCACTGGGTTCCGAGATTTGTTTCTGAGTCTCTGGGATAGTGGCCGTTAAGCAGCTTGATCAGGAGCCAGAGAGGCCGATCGTGGGAGGAGACTCAGGGTCTTTTGGGGGCAGAGAGGAAAGGGTCGGCTCCTCCCTCATCCCATAAGGCCCCGCGTGTCTCATCACTGAGGGCCCCAAACCTGACTGTCTAGTGGCCTCTGGAGGATACCGGCCACTGAGGAGCAGGTGCAGGGACAGGACCCTTTCCCCCCTGGGGTGGCCCGGAAACAGTAACCTACTGTGTTTTCTGTGCATATTTCTGCCAAAAACCGTTGGGTTCCAAGATTTGTTTCTGAGTCTCTGGGATCATGGCCATTACACAGCTTAATCAGGAGCCAGAAAGGCCGTTTATGGGCGGCGACTTGGGGTCTCATTGGGGTGGGAGGAAAGGGCCGGCTCCACCCCCATCCCGTGAATCTTCCCCGTGTGTCTCGTCACCGTGATCCCAAACCTGACCGTCCAGCTGGCCTGGTTCAAACTCTTGTACTGCATATGATCCAGGTATGGCCTCAGAACCCGAATAAAGAGCAATGACTCTTTAGTTGAAATTTTATTAAAAAATGTATGTAATGATGACTGTGAGTTATCAGAGTTAAATAGTGTTTTTTTGTTTGTTTTTTTTTTGGTCAGCTACTTTAAGCACTTTTCAGAACAGAGAAGGTAAATTCTCTTTGGCATTGCATTGTTGTCCTCAATATTGGTATATGTTAAAGTTAGCTGGGAGCTTGAAAGAATTGCTGCTCTTAGGCTTTAGAGAGTGTTATGAAACGCTTGGTGTGTACTCTGGGTAGTGGACTTCAGAGAAGTTCCCCAGATGATACTAATAGTAACGTTGAAGATCCGTGATTTTAGAGACTGGAGCCTGACTGAGCACCTTGGATTTTCAAGAAAAGCTACGTGGCTTCAATGAGAAAACTGGCATTTATAAAGCATTTTACAGTCTCACAGAGGTCTTTTCTATATATAGTTCTCATTTAACTTACATATCTGCCTTTTGGAAAGTCTTTTTATAGGTAATGACTATCAAGAGTGGATCGTGTTCCTTTATTGCAAAATAGGTACTACTATTTAACTTAGAATCCTGCACATAATATTTCTCCATGTTCATTCTTTTCTCATCTTCATCCCTCTTTCTAGACAGGCTTCCCTATCTCTCCCATGTGGCCGAATTTTCATGTCTTTGAAGACTGTCTTTTCTTTAAAAGCTCTAATACCAGTTTCTGTGCAGAATTGTTAGAGATATCAGTGTAGATTGCCCTGTATTAGGCAATCAGACCAGTGAATCTGTCTTTCATCTGGGAGTATGAAATAACAGTCTAGCGTTATTTTTTCCTAAGAAAACTCCTTTAAACTACCTGTTGCCCAAAGTCTTATTAGAAGCTCTGTTGTAAGAAAGAACATTCATAGATTTCTGCAAGAGCATGTGACTCAGTCACTCTTCTAAAAGAGGTCCTGACTTCTCTTGGAAGTAGTAGTAACTGAAAGTTTGCAGCCAAACCTTGGACTCTTGAAAAATATATGTATCTGTACTTTCATAAAATTAGGTTCAGTATCATTGAGTCTTTCTGTTTTTTTTGTCTGCTGATAAAGAACTTTTGCTCAAAAGTACAGTAAGGGCCTTGGATAACATTGTTTTACTTGTAAATTTGCTATTTCGAGGAACTTGTTGGTCATGTCACTTACCATATCTATTAGCATATATTAAAATTAATTTTGTTACTAGTAAAATATCCTCAGATCAAGCCTGCCAATTAAGAGGGCTGAATTGTCAGGCAACATTGTCTAGCTTTTCAGATATCCTTTACCTAGCCTTCAGAAATATTCTGAGAAGCAGCTGTGAGATTCAGTTTTGTTGTTAGGAGAATAAGTAAAAAAAAAAAAGTAAAGGCCCTCCCGTTGATCATCGATTTGCTCGAGCGGGCCCAGTAACGTCTCCATTGGAGACTTTGTTGTTACTGTGTCTGGCATATCGAATACTCTTGGTAGCTTAGGAGAATATCAGAGATTTTGTCCCTGTTTAAGTGCTTGTTAGAGCTTGCAGTTATGGTTCAATTGGGTGGTTGTAACAAGTAAATTTTTTTCTTTGCTCTGTTATTTTTCTTGTATTATAATCTTTAATACTAAATGTTACTTGATTTTAATGTTACTCTTTATGAGATATTGCTACTCAATTTTTATATAAAATATACTGGATTGCTGTGCAAAGTTTATTTTCTAAAGAACTAAATTTTGAGAGAAAAGACTTAAAAACTACTCTACCATAGTTTCTAGTTTCTCCTCTCTCCCCCTCCTTTTTTAATATTATCATTCCTGCCAACGAACTTGGTTTCTCTTAAGATGAAGCTCTAATCTATAAAATGGGAATGATAGTTACTTTGTAGTTATTTTGAGGAATTTATAGTCCATAAAACAGAGTTTCCCATGTTTGATGCTATTATTACTACTAGGGAAAGGAGTCTTCAAAGACAATGCTTTGTTAATCTTACACGTATTAAGAATTTGTTAGTAGTGATGTCTATTATTTTGGCTGTTAAATAAAAAATTTCCAGATACATTTGAGACAAAGAACTAACAAACTAATCTTTTGTGTTTGTTCATTTTACCCTGATTTTGTCATTTTAAAAATTTGTTGTATCTTTACAAGCATCTCTCTCATCCCTTCCTGCAAATCAGCTCATTAAATGGCATCTTAATTTTAATTTGATATAATTCTATAATAATTTCAGAGATGTTGTCCTATTAGTCCCAGAAGCAAAGGTAGAGGAGAATTTTGTGGCTAGTTAATGCTTATATTAAACTATAGATAATGAAGGCTTAAGCATCTACCATGTTTAGTTTTTTTTTCAGCTTTTTAGTACGCTTTAGTTCAGTATAGGGAATTTCTTACTAGCTCTGTTAGCTGTTCTTCTTTTAGACACATTTTTATACCTGGTTAATCTGTTCTTTGTAGAAATTGAAGTTGTAGTAAATTCTTAGCATAATAAAACCCTGCTGAATAATTTTATGCACTGAAATAAAATACTAATAACTTAATAAGGTTCAATATTTTCCATAATATGGCATTAGACTGTCATTGTATTTTGAAGATTACTAATCTTTGTTGAATATTGTGGTTTTTTCTTTGGAATATATTTAATATTTTGGTGGGAAAGAGGTTAATTTTGTATTTCTAATTTAAAAATTAAGTTCCATTTTTATGTAGAAATGCCTGGTCAAAGTAACATGAAAATGTAAGCAATTAAACTTTTCAGGGTTCCTTTTACATATGAGACTGATAATCTCATTTGTATGTTATGGACGCATTGCCATTTTGAATCTTAGTGATTAATAGTGATTAATCCATTTAAAGCTAAAAGGAAAGTAATTAGATTTCTCAGCTATATTTAGGACTGCCATGGGTTCTAGGATTTTTGAAAGTGGAACCCCTTAGACTATAATGAATGATATATAAATATTTTCTCTTGACTCAAAAATTGAGTTTTTATTTTTGGATTTATGTTTTTCTACTTTTGACAGTTGGAGAATTTGCCAACCAAATTGCAAATGCAAGTAAATAAATGAGAATTTGTTCTTGATGGGGATACATTTTAAAAGATGGAAAGAAGATAATCCACATTGAAAATTGAAAGTATTGGAATAGGAAATAGAGTAGAAATAGACTTTTTTTTTCCATTTTGGGTCACACCTGGCGACATACAGGGGTTACTCCTGGCTCATGCACTCGGGAATTACTTCTGGCGGTGCTCGGGAAACCATATGGGATGCTGGGAATCGAATCCAGGTTGGCCATGTGCAAGGCAAACGCCCTACCCTCTGTACTATCATTCCAACCCCAGAAATAGATTTTTAAAGTGAAGTTAAGGTAGCAATAAATGATGAAAATTGTAGCCTCATTACTGTCACTGTTCTCCCGTTTTTCATCGATTTGCTCGAGCAGGCCCAGTAACATTGTGAGGCTTGTTACTGTGATTGGCATATCGAATACATCATGGGTAGCTTGCCGGTCTCTCAGAGAGGGGCAGAGGAATCGAACTCGGTCGGCCATGTTGGTCCCTTGCAAAGCAAACGCCCTACCCGCTGTGCTATCACTCCAGCCCTGCCTCATAACACATGCACACATGCCTTTATTTAGTTGAATTTTGGGATTTTAAATATGTATATGTATCAGAGGCTCTGGTTGCAATGTGCTTTGTTGTTTTATCATTTTATCTTTTCCTATAAGTAACTTCTCTATGGTTGTATATACTTTGATAATGTCCTTTGGTATGTTAAACAGCTTTTAACATTTTACATTTAGAAATTTCACTTGTTATGTAACTCCCCATGTGAACTTAGATGAAGTTCCTTCCCACATGGGAAGTTACTTTTCCCCCCTTTTACTTTCCAATACACTTTTCTACTTTCTGACAAAAAGAAAAAAGAAAATTAACTTCTTAGATTTTCCTCCTGTAGCTGTCTTTTGTGGTAGACTTTTTCTGTATAAAGAATTGCAGATACGATTAGACATCAGTAAGGCATATAATATATGAGTTCTGACTAAAGACATGTTATTAGAAATGACAAATTGACTTAAATTAAGACTTAAAAATTTAAGCCTTATGGACTTAAATTTTTTTATTTGTTTAGCAGTTATTATCTTATTCACATGAAGGTGTAGATTCAGTGGAGATTATTTTTTAAAAAATAATAAATTTAGAAGAAAACAATAAGAATTAAACATTTATGATCATCATTTTATGTGTTGATTCCAATTTACTAATAAAGTAATTTCTGTAGCAACATAACTATCTAAAGTATATGACGAAGGGTTTTAGATTTTATTTCTTACCTAATGCTTGTATTATTTCTCAGACATTTATTAATACTGCAACTAATTAATTCAATTTTTGTGTTACAGGCGATTACCTGGGGCAATTGATGTTATTGGTCAGACTATAACTATCAGCAGAGTAGAAGGAAGGCGACGAGCAAATGAAAACAGCAACATACAGGTTTAGCATTTTTAAAATTACTATTTTGGTTTTGGTTGGGGATTATGCCCAGCAGTACTGTGGGTTATTCTTGACTCAGTGTTTGCTCCTGACTTGGGGAATCCTGTGCTGGGGACTAAACCTGAGACTCCTGCATGTAGATTATACACTCCAACCCTTTGAGCTATCTCCTGGTCCCTAAAAGTTATTACTGTGTGTGTGTTGAGAGCGGGGTGGAGGAATTTGTTAAAAAAATTTTTTTGTGATTCTAGGTGTTACAAAGATTTTTAGATATGGTTAACAGTCACTCATTAAAAACACTTCTTATAATTTAAATTTTTTTTTATTTTTTCAGTAAAAAAAAATTATTATTATTATTATTTTTTGCTTTTGCTTTTTGGGTGATACCCAGAGATGCTTAGTGGTTACTCCTGGCTCTGCATTCAGGATTACTCCTGTCAGTGCTTGGGGGACCACATGGGATGCTGGGGATCGAACCCAGGCCGGCCATGTGCAAGGAAAACACATCACTATCGATCCAACCCAGTAAAAAATTGCTTTTACAATTATCAGGACAATAATTGTGAAAAAAAATTTTTTACAATAATTTTATAATAATTATTGATTTTTATAATAATTATTGATTTTTATAATAATTATTGATTTATATATTATTTTTTTAAAGACAACCTAAACATTTACTATAATAAGATCATGTATGTGTCCCTAGACCTAGTTCTTTTACCTACTTAGGTCTGGTCAAAAATGATTGTGATAAATTGGGGAGTAGGGGAGTGGGACATTTTTTTCCAATATTATGAAATTTTAGAGGAATGTCATCACATCTCTCATGTGCATGGCTCATCATGCCTATCACCAAGTTCCAGTACCATTGTACCAGCTTCATTGAACGAAACAGAAATATGGGACAGATTTAAGGAAGACAAAGAAAGGCATTGATAATATTTTTGCTCTCAGAGGATAAGCCACTTAAACAGTCTGGAATAGTTATTCTTCATGATTAAGCAGTTTGGGATACTACTAGATTGTATTTATGTATATCTTTTTTTTAAGCTTACAATGACCATTTTCACTTTTTCTATTCTTTAAAAATATGAATTAAAATCTTGTAGCATCATTATGTGCCAGATTTATTTGATATATTACTGTTTGAACTAGATTTACTTTGTTTTTAAGTGAAATAAAAGAATTTGGGTTATCACTAACCTAGATAATTCAAGTTAGAATTTGCAGTTACATTCAGCTATTGGCTTGATCACACTGTTTTGTTACTAGTTTTCTTATTGAGTACTTTTTAAAATATTTGACAGGTTAGGGAGATGGTAGAGTGGTTAATGTGGCCAACTTGCTTCCCCTTTCAGCACATGGCTTCCCAATATTGCTGGGTTTTGCCCTAGCGACCTCCAAGTTTTGCTGATTTGGTCCTGAAAACTCTGCACCACCAGGGTGATCTAGTAACTTTGGCACCTCAAACCTAAGAGCACTACATCATAAGGTCTGAGCATTGGTTGAGGACTGATGTGGTTCCTTGGTCCCCTAAATACCACTTGATAGTCCTTCCTCCTAAAATAAAAGTGTTCATAGAGTTTTGGTTTTAGTCTTGATTATATAAAAGTTCTTTTTATTTCATTGTAATTTTCAGATCTGAAATATAAACTTAGCCCTCTGACTTCCAGAAATAATTATTTCCTATTAAAAATAGCTAACCATTAAAAAATCTTTTAAAAATTACTGTGCTTAATGGAAAGGAAAGAGCATAGAGCCACAGGTAAACTCTGAGCACAGTTGGTGTGGTACCCAAACAAAATTCAGATTGGAATTTTATGTATAAAGAATTTGATTTATCCTGCAAAGATTTGAGAAGTACAGCTAAATATGTGGTTTAGATTCCTGGCACTGTATATGGTCCCTCGAGCACCAGCAGGAGTGATCCCTGAGCACTGAGCTAGGAGTAAGCGGTATAGTACAAAAAAACTAAATATATGACATATCACCTATTTCTGCTCTTTCCCAAATATTCTTGCACACTGAAATTTCTGGGAATGTTTCAAGAATCTGCATTTCCAGGGCTACTGGACTGTGGGTTTATTTATGCCTGTAATAATAGGATACTACTAATATTTGATTCCTCTGTCACTCTCTGAGAGCTCGGCAAGCTACTGAGAGTATCCCGCTCACACGGCAGAACCTGGCAAGCTCCCCGTGGCGTATTTGATATGCCAAAAACACAACAGGGGTTGGAGTAATAGCACTGCAGGTTGGGCATTTGCCTTGCACATGGCTGACCCAGATTTGATTCCCAGCATCCCATATGGTCCCCCGAGCATCGCCAGGAGTAATTCCTAAGTGAAGAGGCAAGAGTAACCCCTGTGCATTGCCGAGTGTGACCCAAAGCCAAAAAAAAAAAGTAACAAGTCCCACAAAGGAGACGTTACTGGTGCCCACTCCAGCAAATTGATGAACTACAGGAGGACAGTGCTACTAATAGATGCAAAACCTATCTACACAGCCCCTATTTTGTAAGCACAGTTGTACTTTTCAGGTGTGAATCTTACTTACACAGTTACAGGACTCAATCTCTGGCTGCTGTCCTTCCACCCTGTTGATGTGTGTCATGAAGTCTCATGTTTAGTATCCTGGTGATTGCAGATCCTACTCTGTGAATGTCTTGACTGTGCTGCCATGTTGATTTTTTTTTTTTTCATAAAATTGCAACAGATATGAGAGTCACATGCAGACAAAAAATCATAATGACTTTTAACTGCTTTTAATTTGGACCACCTACTGTGGTGTTGGGAAGCATCAGAACTATACCCAGTGGTGCTGGCAGTGGAAACGTGATTTTTGGGATTGAACTCAGGGCCTTGTACATTCTAGGCCTGTTTTCTGCCACTTGAGCTATCTTCCCTGTGTAGCTATACAATTTTTGCTAATTTTACTACATTGATTTAATGTGAATGCTAAAATTTGGATAACAGGCTAATATTCATTTGTAAAGTAATTATTCAGAATATTTATCAATTTTTACCAAAACTTTAAAAGTGATTTTATTAAATTTTTGTCATTTTTCATAGGCTTTGATTATGGATATTTTAGAAGTTTGTTCAAGTATATATTTCACATATGTATCCAAGTATCATACACTTAGAAAAATGATTCCTGTCCATTGGTGCCCATGATGAAGGGATTTGGGTACACTGGTGATGGATGTGGTGTTGGAATTATGCCATGGGAATCCATCACTAACAGTATTGAAAATCACCGAACGTCAGTCAAGAAAAAAAGAAATTATTCTTTTCCCTCAAATATGTATATATGAATGCAACTTTTTATCTTGTTTCTTAAATGGGTGAAATTGTTACTAATTTCATATTAGTTTTTCATTAACTCTGGTTTGCTTTTAGGTTCTATCTGAAAGATCAGCCACTGAAGTTGACAACAATTTTAGCAAACCGCCTCCTTTTTTCCCACCGGGAGCTCCTCCCACCCACCTGCCACCTCCGCCATTTCTTCCACCACCTCCAACTGTCAGCACTGCTCCTCCTCTGATTCCCCCACCAGGTAAGTAGTAAATAAGTCATTGCCCTTGAAAGGAAAAGAACTCCTTGAGATTTTTTTTTAACTAAAAAATATTTTAACCTTTGAGTGTTTTTTTATGAATGAAATATAAGATGATGTGAACTGGAAGGTATAAAAAAGAAATTTTCCAAATGGAAAAGAGGAGAGATTTTTTTACTGATGCCCTGAGCAATGTAAAAAAAATAGTGAAATATATTTGAAAATATTATCTTCATTGATATGTATTAAAAGTCATGGATAGGAAATCAATATGTTTTCGATATAGATTTGCTCTACAATTGATAGCTGTGTCTTACTATTTTATCATAGCAAAGGAATTTTACTGAAGTAATAAATAATGTAAAGTTAATAAAATTGTGATCCTTCAAAGTAAAATTGATGAGTTTATATTCAAATATATATTGAGTTGTAAGGTTTGTTTAAAAGATTCGGAATAGTCAAAAACAGTATATCTCTGAAGAGACAAAATTGGTTCTGTGGTTTATATCTCAAACACTATGTCTGAGTGCTTATTTAATTTCAGGGAGTGGGAGTGTTTCTCCCTGTGGTACTCAGGGTTTACTTCTGGTTCTATGCTCAGAGATCACTCCTGATGGGCTCCAGAGGACCATGTGGAATGCTGGGGATCAAACCGGGTCAGTCGCGGGCAAGGCAAGCACCCTACTGGTGTACTATCTCTCTGGCCCCTTTTGAGTGTTTTTTAAAAGCAGCATAGAAAATTAAACTTTTGATGTATTTTTAACCACTTGGTTTTCAGTTATAGAATGATCGAATACCCATCCGTCCACCAGTGCCCTTTCTCCACCACCACGGATCCCAGTATCCCTCCCACCCTCCATCCCCGCATCCCACCCTGCCTCTGTGGCAGGGCATTCTGTTTTTTTTCTCTCCCTCCTTTTGGGTGCTGTGGTTTGCAGAAGAGGCATTGAGTGGCAATCATGTTCGGTCTATAGTCTACTCTCAGCACACATCTTCCATCCTGGGAAGATCCTCCCAGCACCCTTTAAATTCAATTTTTATTTTCAACTTTACATTCAGAGGCATTTTGAATTTTATTCTTTTTTTTTTTTCTTGTTGGGTCACACTCGGCCATGCACAGTAGTTACTCTTGGATCATACACTCAGGAATTATTCCTGGCGGTGCTTGGAGGAACATATGGGATGTTGGGAATCAAACCCGGGTTGGCTGTGTGCAAGGCAAATGCCCTACTCTCTGTGCTATTGCTCTAGCCCCTGAATTTTGTTCTTAATAAACTTCGAATATAAGTTCAGTTTTATGAACTTTATTCATGAAATTTTAATGATACCAACAAGGTTGATTTGGGACAATCCTTTTTTTTTCAAGGGAAAATGCCATTAATAAATGATAAAATTAGGTCCTAGTCCTAATAAAAATTACACGTACACATTAAAATTTACTTTCTATTAATAAAATGAGTTCAGATTAAAACCCCTATCTAAACTTTACTCTTGCAAGAGAGCTGCTGGCTGTGATTTGAGAAGTAGGTTAATAGAGTCTGAATAGTCCTTTTACTATGTGTTCTCATTCTTGGTCTCTAAATTGTAACTGTTCTTTTTGCCTTAAAACCACACCATCTTTGATTTTCTTCCATTGTCACCTCTTATCTTTAAAATGATAAGAAAATCAGTATGGAAACCGCCCAAATCTTTAGTGAATCTGTTTTCATATAACTAGCAGAAAGATTGTTGGGAGATAAGCTAGATAAGCTCATGCTTTGCATGCTGGAGGCCTAGGTTTGAATCTTAGCACCACATGATTCTAACACAGCAGAGTATGGTCCAGTATTATCCAGCCCTGTGCGCCCCTAACCCCCAAAAGGACTGTAGATTGTAGGTACTTACTGTAGATAACATTATCTCTAAACTTATGAATTTCTGTTCAACAGTAAATTTGTTCTGAAGCACGAAGCATTTAGAAATTGTGATTGGGCTTATGATATTTGAGTCTTTTGTGACCATACCTGGCTCTGCTTAGGGCTCACTCGATAGCACAGCGGTAGGGCGTTTGCCTTGCACGCAGCCAACATGGCCGACCCGAGTTCAATTCCTCCGCCCCTCTCGGAGAGCCCGGCAAGCTACCGAGAGTATCTCGCCCGCACGGCAGAGCCTGGCAAGTCACCCGTGATGTATTCGATATGCCAAACACAGTAACAACAAAATCTCCCATGGAGACACTCCTAGCAGTGCTTGGGAAACAATATGTAGTATGGGAGATTGAATCAGGGTTCACTGTGTGCAGAACAGGTGTCTTGCCCCGGTACTCTCTCCAGACCCTGATTCTTGAGTTTTATATGGTAAGAATTAACTAATGAAAAATATTGACTTATTGATTCATAAATGAGTTCTTGTCCTTTGATATAAATGGGGCCAGGGAGATGTTTCAGAGCCTCTTAGAGTTCGTGCTTTGCATGTGGAAGACTGGTCAATACAGCAGGACCCCCTAAGTATTCTCTAGGAGCAAAGTAGTACCATAGGTGGCCCAGAAAATCATTTTTGTAAAAAAGAAAAAGACAAATATAGAATTGTTAATTTTGAGCATTGGTTTGAGGCTGGAAATTGATATGTGTGTCTGATTAATAGCCCTCTGAGAGATTGCTTTTGTGACAGTTTTAAACTTTGCTACGTACCAAAGGTGAATTTCAAAGAAATTTTCAGGATAGATAGGATATGTAACTTGGTGATAGTACACAGATTTTATATGTATGAGGTCCTGGGTTTGATTGCTAGAAGGAAAACAAAAACAGAAGTTCTTAAAGTTTGCTCCCTAATATAACAGAGTCTAACATTTTATATAGGTCAACACTAGCAATTAATATTAGATGAAAAAATCAGTACCTCACTGGTATAAAAATATTTAGAAACACTTGACATGGCTGATATGTTTTTGGGGCACTTTTATTTATTTATTTTTAAAGAAAACTTCCATTTCTTTGCTGTGTAACTGATTCTAGGGATGATAACATATTTTAATTATATTTAGGTTATTTATGGCTTTGTACTATGAAGTACCGCTGATTTTTTTGTTGCTGACTATTGTCTTAGCTATTAAATTTTAATTCTCTTTTCTAATTTTTCCTTTGATGATTATTCTTAAATGCAATTTGTAAGCTATCTTGTCATCATTTATGGAATACAAAAATCAGATGACTTCTAAAACTGGCTTAATTTACCTGACTGTGGGATATTTGCTCAGGGTGGGAGTAGTGATGTACCAATTCATAAAGTACTTATAAATTGAAATTATTTAAATGTTTTTCAAAATGGGAGGTGCCAAAAGATTCAGGGCATAATATATTAGGGGATCTGGAAAGATGGAGGTGTTGGTAGTAATGCAGTTGGGAGGAATTTTGTGTATTCGCGTACAGCAGGTGTATTTCCAGCATGCTACTAACCACAGTTCTCCAGCAACTCTACACTGCCAGGGAGTAGCTCCTTGAGCTGTTGGGTGTGCTGCACTGCTTTTGCCCACAATGCCACTCTCCCCACACCAAAATATATATATATAGGGGCTGGAGCAATAGCACAGCGGGTAGGGCGTTTGCCTTGCACGCAGCCAACATGACCGACAGGTTCGATTCCCAGCATCCCATATGGTCCCCTGAGCACCGTCAGGAGCAATTCGTGCATGAGCCAGGAATAACCCCTGAGCATCGCCGGGTATGACCCAAAAAGGAAAAAATATATATATATATAAAAGAAAGAACCAGAATTCTTATTCAGGAAGTGTTACTGGAAATTCTGTTCTAATTGTTGAAGTGAATTATTCCATCTATGTCAAGAAAAAACAACAAAAAAAGCTCCTGTTGAATTACTGTTGAAATTTTAAGTATTTTCCTGATGGTGAAGTACATGCTTGCATACTTGTGGATAGGCAGTTAGGAAGACTATAGGTCATGAAACAGGTTTTTCTTTTTGATGTTTTGTTTTTGGGCCGCTGCCCTCATCACTGGTCCTGGAGGTCGCTCCCAGTAGTACTTGGTTGACCATGCAGTTCTGGGGGACTGAACCTGGGGTGAATAAAACAGGTTTTAATTACTTGCTGAAAGATAAAATTATGAAATTGCAATGTTTAATATATGTAACATAGGAGTTTATGCTTGTTTATTTTTTTATTATGGTAATACACATTTTAAAGTCATTTGTAAGTGTACAGTTGTAACATCACTATTATGTGTGTATAAGCTTTTTTCATTGTCCTTAAGTAAAAAGTAAAAGTAAAGGCCCTCCCGTTGATCATCGATTTGCTCGAGCAGGCCCAGTAACGTCTCCATTGGAGACTTTGTTGTTACTGTGTCTGGCATATCGAATCGAATACTCTCGGTAGCTTGCTGGGCTCTCCGAGAGGGGCGGAGGAATCAAACTTGGGTCGGCCATGTTGGCTGCGTGCAAGGCAGATGCCCTACCCGCTGTGCTATGTCCTTAACCAAAATTTTGTTCTCATTAAACATTTTAGTTTTCTTTCAGATTTCTTATTCTAGTTTATCTTATAAAATGGAACCACAAAATATTTCTCTTTCTGGCTTCTGTTTTTAAAATAAGAGTTTCAGAGTTTTGAACAAGCTATTCAGATTGTATTATATTTTATGTTAGGCTTAGGCTGACTGTTTTGGAATCAGTCTTTGTATTTTGTTTGTTTATTGAGGGGCTCCACTCCGTCATACCTGACCAGGCGATATGAATCTTGATAATTTTACTGCTCAGACCCCACAGTCCCGGGTGCCAGAAATTGGACTTGGGGCCTGGTTTGTGCACGCTAGCCCTCAAGCTGTCTCCTTGACTCTAATCTTAGTGTTTTATCTTCGTTAATTTTTTTATGATATTTGTTGAAAGAGAGAAAATATAATTTAATTGCGTGTATGTAATAGATATAATTATAGCTAATTTCTTACTACAGTAATCAGTATTATAGTTGTGATTATGGGGGTCTGTAATTCTTTGGAACATTTGAAATTCAGTTCATCAATAAAATTCTGAGTCATAAAGGACTCATAAACTGAGCCCAACTTGTGTGGACCTGACATAGGTCTCCCCTACTTTGGCAGAGGCTTGCTCTGTGCTGGACGATTATTATAAGCACACTTTACAAAGTATACTTTTGCCCTCTAATGTGCAGCTTTGTTATATGAAAATACTGTTTATATAATTTTCTAGTGTTTTTTTCAGTTAAACATTACGGAGAGAGGATAAGTGGTTAGTGAATTTATTGGATTCTGCACTCAGGAATCACTCCTGGCAGGCTCAGGGAACTATATGGGATGCCAGGGGTCGAACCTGGGTCTGCTGCCTGCAAGGCAAATGCCCTACTCACTGTACTATCTCTCCTAAGGCAAGGCAGTTTTTAACTGAATGAAATTTGCTTAGAAAGATGTGAAGGAAGAGAAAAAGGAAATGTGTGTTTAAGAGAGATCATGGGCTTGGAAAAAGCAAACAAAGATATATAGAGATGAGAGATAATGTGTTCAAGGGAAAACACCGGCTTGAGTAACAGGCCTCTCTGTGTTGTAATGATGGAATCCATTGAGTAGAAATTTATGGACAGTAATTTTTTTTTAATGCAGAGCTGCTTTTTTTTTTTTTAGAAAAATACTGAATTATATAGTTGAAATTTTTAATTGTGTCTTGTAAGGCTGTTGCTTTCTATTTCTACAGATCCTCAAATAATATTTCAGTTCCCTGAATCCCTATTGTTTACATATAAGAATATCGGCTGCTTTTCTGAAAATTTTATTCTTTTGAGAATGTCAGATGGTTTTTGCTATCATATAGCTGTACTCGACCTACAAGTATAATTTGCTTTATTTAATAAAAATCTGAAATGAAATTTGTATCAAATATTGAGGCTTTTAATAGTACAGTTTGATTTTTAGAGTTCACTGATTATCCAAGTATGATTCCTGATTAGCAACATGATCATCTTGTTAGAACACAATCTCTTCCGTGTCTGTTGCAGATTTGATCAAAAATTTTCTGATAGTGCTCTGATCTGTAGAACAACTTTTGAGTGATTCTGATGGTTGCTTTGTCTTCAAGCCCACTTACCGAAGAGTCTTTGGAGCTTGAGTATTACTTTCAGAGAGCACTAGAAATCTTAGACTACTCTATTGTAAGGCTTATCAGAAACAAACAAACAGTTTCTACCTGCTCGTTTTACAGTAATGGATAGAAAAGAAAACAGTTCTTACTTTGTGTTTTTGGAGTTTGTTAGACAACAAATGCATAGGCTGAGAAGGTGGGAGTATTGAGGATGAGGAGAGTGGGGCTTTTTGAGATGGGTTTTCTCTTCTCTTATTACATTGTTTATATTTTGACAATAAAAGACATGCTAAACAGTGATTTTTTTAGATTAGAATTATGTTGGCTTTACATTATCACTTACTGAAACGTCATGGTTGTTTTGAAATTGTATTTGATAATTGTTATGGAATTGATACTAGTGTTTTATCAACTTTGGGTAATTGTTCTGCTTCAATGAATATTTACCAATAGAGATGATACTGAAGTATTTTAGATAAGAAGTTTCATATGAAGGATCCATTCTAGTTGCCAGTTTTCTGATGTGTAGATATCAATTACAGATGCATCTGTATTTGTAATTTGATTTATCTCCATATTTTGAATTCATTTATTAAAAAAAAATTGTCCTATGCTACAACTCTTAATAGATTAAAATTTTACAAGCTAGTTGTAATTTTAACTGCCTTCATAACATGCTAGTCATTTGACCATCTGTCTTTTATCTTTATGTGTTGTGGAAATTTGACAAATTATTTTGAAGACTAAGGTGAGATAACTGACTAGGAATTTTTTAGTTATTTTTCTTACTTTAGTTAAGTTATAGTGAACACCAGATGAAGTGTGTATGTATACTTATAGGTAATTTACTGGTATTAATGTGGTTGCCAACTTTGGCGTGGTCTTCTAATATACCCAAGAAAATGATTGTGTATTACAATAGAAAAGTAGTTAAGGTGAACTTTGATAATATTGTACAAAAAATTATACTTGTTCTAAAGAAAATCAGTAATAGTTACCATTAAGGATCTTAAATGTGTTGTGCTTTGCTTCACATTTTGTTTTTGGAATCTGGATCTTGCTAGCTTGTGTTTTGCTGGATTCTTCTAGTTTAGTAATTTCAACAAGGTAACCTCAGGATGGACAAGAATTGCAATTAAGTATAGATCAGTTCAGTAGAGTTTTGTGTCTAATGGCTTTTGAAACAGAGAGGCTGCTTTACACAATCTTTTTCAGTCTTGGTTCTGTAAGTCAGAATATACTTTTACGTTTGGGTGCTTAAGTCAGGTGCTTTATTCTCCATTTTGAGGTCACTTGCTGCTTTCAGATCTTTTTATAGAACCCACTTACTGTAAAACATGGTTAAGTTTTTTAAAAAATTAATGATTAGCAGATGTTTCCATTGACAAGAAAAAAATTGAGTTGTTCTGTTTTCATTATTTTTCCAATGCATTTAGCAAATGAATTTTTTTCCTCTTTCAGAATAATTTGGGTGCAGTTTTTAAGATAGATTTTGTAGACCATTCCAACTGTTCCAAGTTATTTATGGTATAATATTTTTCATGAAAGTTTTAAATGTTTTTCTCTTATTTAGAAATGTCATTTTTCTTCATATAAGTAGTAGTTAAAATTTGCATGCCACATAAATTGCCTTTCATGTAGCTTTTACATTTAAAATGTCAAATTTTAGTGCTTAGATTTATTAATCTTACATTAAGATTTAAGGGCACATTTGACTAATCTAAATTGGGAATGTTTATACATAGTTTAGCTCTTGAAGCTTATGTGTACAAATGAGTGAGTCACAAATTACTACTTAATGACTCCTGTAGAAGTAAATCATCATTTATCTTAATGTGCCCTGTGTGTATACAGATACACAAACATATATATGCATGCATATGTGTGTATATAAATATGAATTAGCCACCCCTTATTACTCCCAGAAATCAAGAGAAATAACTTTTCTTGCTCTCGTCAGTAACAGTATAGCAGTCCAGATTGGCACTTGAACTTTGCGTAAATCTTCAATAAAGTGACTTTTCATCATTTTCAATTACCTTGTAGTTCTTGCAGTATTAACAAACCCATTGATCAGCCTTCCTATTAAAATGTTAAAAATAACAAGATTAGATGTTGCATATCCAACCCAATTTAGTGTTAATTTCTTGGAGTTATTTGTGTATGCACATTGTGCTTTGTAAAATTGACCTTTTCTAATTTTGCCTGTGATTACAATTAGTTGGAGAAACCTCATTATCAAGTTGTTAGACTGGACTTTCATCAGGAGGTTGGCTCTTACATTCATTGGTCTTCTGCAAGAAAACAGAATGCGGCTTTTGAGAGAATAAGCCAGGACAAAGGAGGCGAGGGGTTTTATTTCAAAGTTTGTTTTGGTGATGGCATAAATACATTACAGGTTATGAAATCCAATTACTATATTAAATTTCATCACTTGTTTTTTAGGTATTCCAATAACTGTACCACCTCCAGGTAAAACTTTTTTCATGTTTTCTCCATCATTGTTAATAAACATGAAATTTGAAGCTTACAGTTACAGGAGGGACAGTGTTGATGTGGTTAGAATGTGGAGTAGGTAATTGGGATTTCAAGGTCCTATTTTCAGCTCTGCCTTTGCTTCATTCCAGTTATGATCAAGATAATTTAAGTTTCTGTACACCTGTCTGACCCATTTCTATAGAAATAGATTCTGAGAAAAATGTCAATTTGTTGAAGAAAAAGTATAGGGAATGAAATGATTTTATTAAAAAATACTTTAGACCCATTTATTTTTATTTGATACAGTGCAAGAGAAGAGAAAGTTCATCTGGACCATATTGTAGATTCTCATATTTTTTAAAATCTTGGTGATAACTCAGTACTATGAGAAAATTTATTCTGAACTGCACAATCAGGATGTATTGGTAGCTGGTTAGATGGTCGGCATTAGAGTGGTGAATAAATTATTCGTTGTTGTATTGGTTTGATCAGTAGGAGTTTATATATGATTGAATGTTGGCTTTTCCCTCCCTTTTCTGTAACATGGTGTAAATATGATTGTAAGCGTGTTTATTGAGTTCACTGTTGAAAGGAGTATACAGAGAATGAGAGGTGATAACAGTGTGTTTGGAAGGGGGTTCTAAATTCAAAATGCCCTATACAGAAGTAGTAAAGTTTCAGAAGGATAGCATATTTAAGTAGACATGGGATAGGGAGTTGTTTATTGTGCATGAATTTGGCTTTTGAAAAAGGCTTTTATGTGGAGAAGTCATAGAAAAACCATTGGTGTGCCTTTACTTTAGGAAACTGTGATTGTAAAACTGTTTAAGATAGGATTGTGGACTCTACGACCAATGTGATAATTGCTAAGTGTATTACATTTCTTAAAGGTGTTGAAATAGAGGAGTTATGGAATCTAAAACTGGATACAGTAAAGCTGAGCATGGTGAATCTGAAACACATTGAAGCAGGGCCAAATACTGACTTAAATGTACCTTTGAGCAAGGCTGAGTGTACTGGAATTCATTTTCATCTGGAATCCTGACAGTTTAGTGATAGTATTTTCAAATATATAGAGGTTGATAGAGAATCTAGCAGTGTTTTGTTTTGGGTTTTTTCCCCTCTTGTCCAGGACAGTAATGTCAGATAATAGTGTGAAATCGAAGTACAATATAACACATTTTCTAGTAATCAGGGTCATTAAAACTCAAAAGGAATTTGTATCATTAGGAGTTGGTCTCAGTTGTGTTTTGATGGGGTGTGTTATTGTGTATCTGAATTTGAAAGTGTAGAGTAGATTGATTAGTAAGCATCCTTTTAGCCATACCCTCCAGTATTTCATATAGATCCTACGAATTATTGAGAATATAGATACAAAGGTGCAATGATTTCTTTCCAGACTGATCCAGAAATTACGTATTACTTTTCTTTTGTAAAAAGCTATGTAGGATCATGTACTGTTCAGGTATTTTGTAATGAATGTTCTTAGCCATAAGCATTTATGTGTTCGCTGATAAGATTTAATTTATAAATTTTAAATTTAAAGGAAATTCCTATATTTCTAAAACTCAAAATAATTTTGAAAGCGGTGAATACTATTTTATTTGCTTTTCTTCTAAAACATTTCAAGTATAACATGGTGGCAACACTGGAACTGTTTTATATATGGAAAAGGTAAGGTCTTGAGATAATAAACCTTCTCATCCTCACAAAATGGGCTGTGTGTGGTGCTGAAAATAAGACCGAGTGTCCTGACTCCTGTTTGTGCTCTGTGTATTAGATCAGACTATTATTCATTTAAAGATCCTGCTCCAAAACTGTTCATAATTTTAAGTTCCATTCCTTTCTGTCCATTATAACATAGAAAAGCACGTTTTTGTACCCAAAGAAACTTACTGATACTCAGCAACTTTGTTTCACCCTACATCACATGTATGTTTTATTAACTTTTTTGATTTTGTGATTGAATATTTCAGGTTTTCCTCCTCCACCAGGTGCACCACCTCCATCTCTTATACCAACAATAGAAAGGTAAATCATTTTGGCTACTTGAAATTTTTTTTATCATTGGCAGGCTTATGACAGAAGGCTCTTATACATACCATAGTCATATCTTAGAAAGGTTTCCTTTCATAAACAACAGTAGCCACTTTTTTAATTCGTCTGATGACAAAGAGGACAAGAAACTAAATCATAGTATTTTGAAATACTTTGATTTTTTAAAACTGACATGTCGATTAAAGAAAATTGGTAGATTGGTAAAAACAGGGCAGTGATCAATATTTTTGAAAGTGACAGAATGGTGATTACATGCATCTCTGTTTTAGCTTTAAGTAAAGACAGCTTTTAGGGGGGACAATTATGAAGAAAAGCTACTAATTTTTTGCCACCATGTGGAGGATTGGATCCATGCAACATGGCAATAGTCTTATCTTCTGTGCCTTGTTCTTAGGGTATGTTAGTTGGAGTACTGTACGAAGGAATGTTTTCCTTTTGGACAGCAGGGTGAGGTTTGACACTGTGGGCTTTGGAGTCACATTTCCTGATTCTGATTGTGACTTCAAAGCGTTTCCCAACTTGTATTGCTATGCAAGATTAATAACTACTCTTAGAGATGAGTTTTCTTTTACCAAATGGAGTTGTGGAGATTCAGTGAGAAGAGAAAAATATGTGCATGCATACATGCAACACTGACTCCTAGAGGCTGAATTGAGGGCTTTTTATCACCAAAGCACGCCCTCTACCAGTGCTCTTCATCACCATTTCCCACAGCCAATTAATATAAGCCTCAGTGCAGTTGGCAGATAGAAATCACTAATAAAAATGGTAGCTGTCATATTACTTTTTCATGACAAATCACGGAAACAGTAGATTTTTAAAAAATTATATAAAATGTCAGTAAAATCACGAGACCTTAGCCAGGAGCATCAAACCATGCATGTCATTCTCGAAGGAAATAGTAAAGTTCAGCAGAGTCTGAGTTGTGAGAACATTTTCTTTCTAAACACATTGTTTTTTCAAAAATGTTAAATGTATTTTTTGTTGATGCTATCAATTTGACCGAAATTTTGATTTCCAGTCATAGCTAACTTTAAGACTAAATTTTAATTGTCTAGTTATTAATCTCAATTGCTGTTGTCTTACCTGTCAGTCAAGCTGAATTGATATGATTTTTTATGCTAAAATGTTCTAATACGCTGTATTTTTCTTTATAAGTCAGTGTTAAATTAATTTTGAGGTTAAAAACCTGCATTTTTGTGTTAAAGTAAAAAATTACAGAATTAAAACTTACAATTACATAGTAGTTACCTTGGAGTTTTTGTTTGCACCGAGCTGTTAAAATTCAGAAGTTATTTTGCAACATACGTAAGAATGCTTTTTTTCCTCAACAGTGGACATTCCTCTGGTTATGATAGCCGGTCAGCGCGTGCTTTTCCATATGGCAATGGTAAGTATTATTTTGAGTTGTGTATTACTGAATTTTGAAAAAGGAAAATAACTTTAAAAATTTTAAAACAGTAACAAAAGTAAAATATAACAAGTATCTAAAGGCAGCAGAAACTTGCAATTGGTCTTCATGGTCTTCAGTAAGAAGCACAGGGGAGAGAAAGGGGCTAGGATTTGGGGGAATGGGGATGAGGGGGAGAGACAGTGACAACACCGGTCCAGTGGTGAAGGGTGTGGTGCTGGAATGTGTTCTACATAAAACTCTATCAGTCATTCACTGTATTGTATACCATGTTGCCTAAAATTTTTGAAAAATTGTTTTTAAGCAATAAAAACATCCTTCCAGGGTTGGAAATATTCTTACAGAAAAATTTTAAAATACCAAGTAACTAGGTCTCACACATTCCAGGCCACTTAATTGTCTCCTGAGCACAGATCCATGAGCAAGCCTTGAGCAATGCCAGTGTGGCCCCCAAACCAGAAAACAAAACAAAAAACAACAAATTTGATATAGCAGTGATATTTGTACTTCGCCGTTTTTGTAAAGGTACAGAATTGATCAGAATTTTATTTAATTTTTCTGTCTCTTGACAGATGGCATTCAACTCACCTTGTTTGGATCTTTCCTCTTTTTTCCTTCCCTTGTAGATCATTTGCCTGTGTCCTCTTCCATGTTCACTTTTAGCAATTTTGTCTAGTTGAAGGGCTTCTAGTAATACTTTCATCTTGCTTTCTTTTATTTATATTTTTGCATTTGGGACTGCAACCAGCTTGGTGTTAGGGTGCTTCTCCTACCTCAGTACTCAGAGGTCATTTCTGGCAGTGCTTGGGGGAATTACAGGTATCGAGGTTTGAATCCAGGGCACCCGTATTTAAAGAGTGTGCTCCACCCTGGCCCCGGGTAACTTCCTTGACTATTTAAAAGTACTATGCAATGTAGGAGGTCTTAGGTATACAGTAATCCAGGGAGGTTTTCTTCCCCAGATTCATGAACCCGTGAGGAAATGTAGGTGGCAATAAAGGGGAACCATGAGAGTATAGTTGAGGGGACTCTATTTCCAGAGGAATGGAGTAGTAGGTGATTTGACTGACTATACAGATTGTGTTCAAAGGCACGGGCTTGAGAGAAAAATGTTAGACTTTATGATAAGCATCATGTATTAAGTTACTTTTGATGGTCATCACTATCTTCAGCCAGTAACAACTGTCTGCCTGTGCTACCCTCTGTAGCATAGTTGTACAGGTGTTGGTCCTGCGGGTCCATAGCCTGGATGGGATTCCTGACTCTTCCTTTTTTCTGTAGCTTTGCTTAAGTTACAAAATAATCTCCCTTGTCCATAAGACATTTGGAATATAAAATGCATAGGAAAGGACCTGTAATACGTACTGCTGATGCACATTACTCCTTAATTAATTTTTTTCTTTCATGGCATGTATCGGTTTCCACTTCGTGCATTTATTTCCATACAAATGAATGTGAGGACTAGTCCATCACAGAGAGACTGACTTCACTTTATTGAGATGACCTACCCACCTGCCTTGTAGGTTGTTATCTTGCTCAGCACTCCTGGACCCTCTTTATCTGTAGGCAATGATTTTGTACCTCCCTTTCAGATTCTTGCTTCTCTCTCTATCTCTCTCTCTCTCTCTCTGTTGGTGAAAATTACCCACATAAGATTCAAATACTGGAAATGAAGTGCTAACACATTTTACAAAATATTTTGTTATTTTTGACATTTTTACTACTAGATTTTTACCATTAGGTGTTTGATAAACTGCTATGCCAGTTAAAGGAAATTTTCTTCTAGTTTTTCAGGGACTTTTAAACTGAGTAGACTTAAAGTTTTGCTCAGTTAACTCTTTCTTTCTTCTCTTATCTGTTAATCATATTTCTAAATTTTTATAATACTAAATGACTTTATTTGCCAATATGAACCTTGGCCATTGGTTTGATTCCTTTGGTTGCTTTAAACACTTGGTAAGGGACTGGAGCAATAGCACAGCGGATGGGGCGTTTGCCTTGCACGCAGCCGACCCGGGTTCAATTCCCAGCATCCCATATGGTCCCCTGAGCACTGCCAGGGGTGATTCCTGAGCGCAGAGCCAGGAGTAGCCCCTTTGCGTCGCCGGGTGTGACCCCCCCCCAAAAAAAAATTAAATAAACACCTGGTAAATTGTTTGCTGATATACAAAATTTTGACAAGTTCATATGTAAATGGGCACATAATTTTTCTTGTACTATTTGTGACTGACCTGGGTGTTTATTTAAACAAATGAAATGTTGTTTGTTACTTTTTTAGACTTGGAATGTTACTTTTCTCCTTTTTTGGGCGGGGACGCGGGGGGCGGGGGGCTTTCTGGGTCATACCCAGAGATGGTCAGAGGTCACTTTTGGCTCTGCACCTAGGAGTTATTCTTGGTGGTGCCCAGGGGACCATATGGGATGCTGGGAATCGTACCTGGCTCGGCGGTCTCATGCAAAGGAAACACCCTCCCTACTTACTATTGCTCAGACCCAGGATGTTACTCTTTTGTTCTTTGTAAATTTATAGTAAAGTAGTCTGTACTACTCTCATATAACTTGGTAAAATTCAGTTGTAAAAGCTGTCTCTGACTATGTGGTAAGACTTAAAAATTTAATTTAATGTTTAACAGTAATGAAACTATCCAATACTTAATTCTTGAGTCACTTTTGTTCTTCATTTTAGGAATTAGTTTATTATCTCAGTTTCTAATATGTCGGTACAGTGTGTGAATACGTACTCTTCTATTTAATCTCTGCAACTTCTGCAGTTGCTATCCCTTTTTTTGTTCTGGCATTATGTGGGGACCCTTCCTCGCTCCTTCCCTCTCTCCCTACTCCTCCCTTCATTGTGGGACTGTTTGAATCCAGAGCCTCGCTCATCACCCCTTTTGGACATTTTGTTGGAAGTCATCTTTTATTACCTAGTTTTCAAAATCAACGTTAAAGTTTCATCTAGCGTACTCCTATTTTTATCTTTATTTTTTCCTTCTGTTGGATTATTCGTTTCTTCTAAGTGAAAGGGGAAGCTTTGTTGATGAATGTTCAGTCTTCTCTCATAGTATTTAAGATTTTTTTTTCCAGAACAGTTTGTATCCCTATACTTGTTCTAGCTCTTGGTGAGTTGCGTCTTTCATCTTTACACTGTCCTCTTTTCTTTCTCAGGTAATCCTTTGATATGAATATGTTTTGCCATTAATACAGCAGCTTATATGGAGATTGGGAGATAATCATATTTTATCTCCTATCTTTATCCTCCACCCAGTTTGTGTTTGCATTTTGAAGACTGTAATTAGAATTTTTTAAAGTACAAGTCAACGATCTGTCATTTAACTGGTAAATTCAATCTCGTTTTATATTATAGTTAACCTCCTTAATCCATACCAGATATGGATGTCCCAAACCACATAGTCTGAGTCCTGTGTATGCTCCTATTATTTATACACTTATATTTTAATGAAGTTTAATTTATAGACATGGGGATTGCCTGTTATAGGACATACCTGAGTGGTAGTGTATAAGCTTCTGGTTTCTCTCTCTGGCACAGTAGAACACTTAGAACAGTATGCACTAATAACAGCTATGTAAATGTGATCTTTCTCTCGAAGTTCTGAAAATATCTTATTGTAGGTTATATTTGCAGACCATTGCTGCACTATGTGGAAAGCAAACTAGATTTTTGAACTTTTTCAAACCTATGTTCCTGGTCCTAAGCCTTTGGTGGGGGAGGGATTAAAAAATAATTAAAGTTTAGGTCACATGTATACAGTTGTATTCACCTGTATAGTTTTGTTGCACAGTTACCTTACGTCATGCCACTGAAGTGCCTGAGACACCCCACCACTGTCCTTATGTTACTTGGAGACCGCTTTCTCATTCATTACTCTCCGCCTGCCTCCTCCTTGTTTGATATTCTCAGTTCTGTAGTTCAGGATCAGGGGCTTGTTGCCTTTTGATATTTCCTAGGTGTTTTTTTTTCCCTCTTTTTCCACCGGTGAGTGAGGTCTTGTTTGTCCTTTACGTGAGTATTTTAACGTAATGCTCTCTAATTGTATCCAAGTTACAGAATACTGCATGATTTCATCATTTCTTATGACTGCATAGTATTCCATTGTGTATATATGCCACAGTTTTAAAATTTTAAAATTTAGCTTTAAAATTTACCTCTGATGATTTTTTAAAAACTTTCATTCCTTCCCACCCCCAGTGTTTTAATATTTTATTTCCTCCCCTCCTTTTTTATGGCTGCTTTAGAAATGTTATTTATGCTTTTTATAGAGAAAAAAAAAATTGGCCATACCTGCAGTGCTCAGGAACTACTCTTGGTTTGTTGCGTGAGGGTTTGCTCTTTGCATTGTTTGAAGTATTATGCAGTGCTGGTGATTGAATCCGGATTTCCTACGTGCCCCTCCAGCCCTTGAGCCATCACCCTGGCCCCAAATACTGCTTTTTTTCCTCTCTCTTTTCTTTTCTTTTTCTTTTTCTTTTTTTTGCAGTGCCAGGGATCGAACCAAGGGCATCACACATGCAAGGCAAGCGCTCTACCACTAAGCTACATTTCCCAGCTCTGTTGATAGAAATTCTTGTAATAAAGTCCGTTGGTTATAACGTTTGCTTATTTTTTAAATGTCTTTTTATTTGAAATGTAATTTAATTGAGTACAGCAGATTCTTGGATAAAGTTTCATTCAGTGTAATTTCAGTATGACTTCCTAATCTATGTTGAGAAATGTGGATGAGAAAATTCTGGCTGATATTAGAATGACATTAAACAAAATGTTATTATTTAAGAACATGTTTCTATCATTATGTTCATTTAGAGTCATTTTTCTAAGAACATATCAGTAATGTGAAGACTTACACATATTTGCTTTCTTCCAACACTTTGAAGATGTCTATTGTATTCTGGTTTATATTTTTGATATTGAAGTTTCTGGTTCCTGTTTTTACGAAAGAACCTTTATATTCAAGTTTCTGAATATATCTTAAAACTGCATATTCACTATATGTCATACTTTTTTATTTTTAAAATGCATTTCTATAATATAGTGAAGCATTTGGATAGAATTTTGTCATGATTTTTTTTCACTGCTTCCATTTATATTTTTGTCTTTATTTTTTAAGTGCCATAACTTGTTTTTAATTTTTTTCCCTCCTTTAGTTGCTTTCCCTCACCTTCCTGGTTCTGCTCCTTCCTGGCCTAGTCTTGTGGACACCAGCAAGCAATGGGACTATTATGCAAGGAGAGAGAAGGACCGAGATAGAGACAGAGACAGAGACAGAGAGCGAGATCGGGACCGGGACCGTGAACGAGAACGCACACGCGAGAGAGAGCGGGAGCGGGATCATAGCCCAACACCAAGTGTTTTCAACAGGTTTGTGGAGTGTGTAGGGAATTGTCAAATGCATGTATGTAGCACATACTCTTTTAGGGTTTGTTTCTGGTGTGATGTCAGGAGATCCAGTTCATTTGGGAAAGGATTGCTTGGAAAGCAGTTAGAATGGGCTTTTTAAAAAGGCAACAAGCTATGTAACTTCAGAGCTTGCCTTACCTAAAGTGGCAAACTTTGGATTGGTTTGATCACTCATCCCTTAAAAGATTTTAGAAAACTTCCTCACCCCCTTACATGTTTTATTTTGCTACACTCTTTATCTTAAATTTAAGTAGTTGCCAATATAGAGCTAATTTTCAATGTATTATAAGCCTTACATTTAAAACTCTTATCTATACCCAATAGACTAAAAACATTTAAAATGCATCGCAGGCTTTAATGTTGGAAATTTAGTGTTTCTCTTTGGTGGTTAAATTCTTACTTTGGAGTAACTTTCCTCAAACTTATTCTAGTGTAAAATACTTTCATCTCGAAAATGCTCTTTTTAATTGTTCGTCCTATCGGACTTTCTTGCCATACATATATGGAACATAAAAGTGTATTTTCAAATTCATTAACGTAGATTTTCAATGTAAAACTTTTTTCTGGTTTTAGTTATTGGTGATTTAGGCGTATAATGCAAATCCTAAAAATAATTTACTGGTACTGCATTCCTTACTGTGGTACAGGCTTCTGCCCATTTCTACTCTTGTTTTAGAAACAGATAGGCTTTGTCATTAATATTAATATGTATCCTTAGTATATATAAATAGGTAATGTAGTAGATATCACTGAAATCTTTTCCCATAAAACAGTTAAATGAAGGTGGAATTTTGCTGTGGCTGTGTCACTCAGTTATTAGAGATCTTTAGATTTAGTGATGTGCCAAAATGACAGTAAGTCTATTGTGGAATGTTAACTTTTAAGAATATTATCGGCTCATGCATGACTCAGTTTTCTCGTGAGTTGAGATTTGGAAATCACTGGTTTGTGAAAGTACTTTTTCACTGAGTGTAATTGTCTCCTAGAGCTGACATAGCACAGTATTCTTAACTGTGCCTGTAACAACAGAAGGTTACTAAGTGGTCACCTTGGTCTGAAGTCTGAAATCTAGGGGTCAGTAGGCTTTGTTTCTTGTTGGTAGTCTCTAGTCCTCCACACCTCTCTCCTTAGTTTTGGTGGGTGTTAGCAATTTCTAATCCTTGATATTCCTTGATTTGTAGCAGTATCACTCTGATCAATGCCTCTGTCTTCACATGGCCTTGTTCAATGTGTTGTAGTTCCTCTCTCTAGTCTCTAAAGGGTCAATCACTTAATTAGAATGCATGAAGATCCAGAAGCACCATGTCTTGACTCAGTTCCATCTGCGAAGGCCTGTTTCCGAAGAAGGTTGCATTGCCAAGCTTGACATTTAGCATTTGAATGTATCCTAAGTTGTGGGGAACACTGTTCAGCCCAGTACACTGACCACTTAAAGTCATTGGTTTTCTCACGTTGGGGTTTGGAATTCAAAGACCTTTACCAATATTTACCAAGAATACTAATTTTACCTATTTTATTATTTATTTTCCCCTTATTGTTATGTTTATATGCATAATAAACGTATTTATATATTTATATTTATTTATATTTATTAATGTTTTAATTTACAAGGTCATTAGTTCATGCAAATAATGATAATGTACATAAAAGAAGTTTCTTCTCCTCCACCATATCCCATTCTTCCCCTGAGATACATTGACTTGATACATTACTTTTTAACCAATTTTTATGTAGGCACTGTGATTTCAGATATTCTATTTTATTCATATAAATGATGTATAAATAGAATTTTTGCGACTAAATTCTGATACTTCCATTTTAAATTCTACTGAATTTTTACTAAAATTTAAAATGTTGATGGTTATAAACACTGTCCTCCCATTGTTCATTGGTTTACTCTAGCGGGCCCAGTAACATCTCCATTTTGAGACTTGTTGTTACTGTTTGGAATATTGAATAGTCACGGGTAGCTTGCCAGGCTTTGCCGTGCAGGCGTGATACTCTCGGTAGCTTGCCGGGCTTTCCAAGAGGGGTGGAGGAACCGAACTCCAGTTGGCCACGTTGGCAAGGCAAACACCCTACCCGCTGTACTATCACTCCAACCACTTTTGCTTTCCAAGTGGCTAAGGAGTCAGTGTTTACCTAAATCTGGCTCAGAGTTCAAGATCAGAGAGGCAAAAGTTAGAAGGATATTGTGCTATTCTGATCTCAGAAATAAATAGAAGTCAAGACCTTCCCCTACCTCCAGCTTCCCATAACTGACATTTTAGCAATATGACATGTAGGTGCTGTGTTACAAATTAGAGGGTCATTGTTTCTGAAAATTACAGACCAGTTTTAACATCTGTTTCTTAAGCAGTTTAATTGTGGACACAAAGAAAGCTATTCTTTCTAGGGCATTTGAAATGAGTTCTAATGGTTTCCAGGCCCAGCAAAACCTTTGCACTACAGCAGCTGATCAGGAAGCAATGGGCAATGGGGGAAGAAGTGGGCTTTAGAGTATCTCGCCCGCACGGCAAAACCTGGCAAGCTATCCATGATGTATTCGATATGCCAAACACAGTAATAAGTCTCACAACGGAGACGTTACTGAACCCGCTCGAGCAAATCGATGAACAATGGGAGGACAGTGCTATAGTGCTACATCTACAGAAAGATTCCCATCATAGGGCTGCCTTTTGATCTCAAAGACCTCAAAGCTAACATATCTGTGTTAGGGTGAGAGGGAAAAGAGAGGGCTAAAAAATAACAAATTATTGGAGCATTGATTTAACTATTAGTCATTTGTCACAATGCCAGAAAATAGAGCATTAAACAGTTGAGTCTACCTTATATGTGGTGTTGTCTACTCCTTCCTAAAGGTCAGGCGTATTTGTGACCAACTCTTGTATCAAGTACCTATATATGTATTGTCAGCCCTCCAGCGACTGTGGGAATCAGCATTGCCACTTTCTACATGAGAAGATGGAGGAGAGGTTTAGGCAACTTACTCAGGATCACTGAGTTAGTGGCTGAGTGAGGATCCTGGGCAGACTGCCTGCTCCACTGCCTAGTTCCACAAACCGCTTAGAACTTTGAAATGTGAAGAACTTGGTGATGGCAAGAGAACTATATTTCTGCCTGCAGGTGGATATTGTAGAAATTACCTTCGTTTTCATACTTTTTACTACATTAATAGACTTGACAAATTTTTTAAAATTCATATGCTTTTAGCCATGTGGTCTGTGTGAGTTACAATTTTACTATAGTCTTAGGCAACTAACTTTGTATCAAAGATTGTACAGTTATATAAGAATTTTGGTTTCAGGAATATGAGCCACATAAATGTACTTTTCATTCTAAAAATAAGAAAATGAAGCTGCTGATTAAAATTTAAATCAGTTATAGATCCAACTTTTTGAAGAAAGCATTCTTTTAAAAGTTCTACCCCATAAACTTGAAAGCAGAATAAAAATGGTGCTTTACTGTGATTTGTAGTTATTATCTATTTTGTACCCTTACATTTAGTACTAATTTGGAAACAGAATTGTTTTCCTTTAAATTCGGCATTTAATTTGCCACATGTTCTATATAAGATCTGCAGGCGGCTTCTGGTTTGGCTTCAGACCCCATCCCCTCTTCTGCAGTGTAAATGTACAGTCCAGTTGTCAAAAAATAAAATGTCTTTTTGATTCCAATTTCAGTGATGAAGAACGCTATAGATATAGGGAGTATGCGGAAAGAGGCTATGAGCGTCACAGAGCAAGTCGAGAGAAAGAAGAACGACATAGAGAAAGACGACACAGAGAGAAAGAGGAAACGAGACACAAGTCATCTCGAAGGTTTGTTCTTTAATAAAAATAGTGAGTTGCTGAATCACTTTGAGGCAAGGAGAAATAATTTGGCTACAGGAAATAAAAGCAAACATTCTGCAGTGACCGGTACAACATATGTTTTCCTAATTGGAAAATTCAGAATTACCCATTGAAATATTTGATTCCTTATAGGTTTCAACAGGAAATCGTCAGTCTAACAATACTGCATTCAATACCTATAAGTAGCATGGGATGCAAAATTATTTGACATCTTGTTATGAGAAGGGGAATGTTGGCCGATAAGCTAGTATTTAATGGGAAGAAAAGCAATGTTCGGTTTGATTAGAGAAAATTACTGAATCAGAAAAATGAGTTAGAGAAAATTCAGTAGTCTCAAAAAATCAGTATTAAATTTTAATGCCTATCGTTTTTCTAAAATTAGCCTAGAAAGTATTTTCTATTCTGATTCAGTGTTTCAATTTTTAGTTGGTAATAGTCTTTTAGAATAAAGTGTATGGGACTTGTGAATCTATAACAGGATCAATGAAGTTGATATTAATGTAATACCTGCATAAAAGTTAGGTAAGTGGATTGCTCTCAGAATGTGTTCAAGAAAACAAAGGAATGATTCAAAATGCAGTGTGACGTAGAGAATTTACAGAGTGAGTTGCTTTGTTAAATTTGTAATCTTAACCATTTCTTAAGATTCTTACATTTTCCTCTCCTGCAGTAATAGTCGACGACGTCATGAAAGTGAAGAAGGAGACAGTCACAGGAGACACAAGCACAAAAAATCGAAAAGAAGTAAAGAAGGAAAAGAAGCTGGCAGTGAGCCTGCCCCTGAGCAGGAGAGCACCGAAGCTGCACCGGCTGAGTAGCCTGGGCATGGGTGGCCTTTTTGTGTATATCAGTGCCAGAAATGGATGCTGTCAATCTTGTTATTTTTTCTGGATAATGTTTAAGAAATTGACCTTTAATCTTGTTCTGTTAGTATGCAAAGTTAGCCTCCCCTCCCTAACCCTCCCCCCAAAAAATAATAAAAGAGTGAATTTTTCATGTTAAGTTAAAACATTTTGTCTTGTAATATTTAAAAAATAAAGCTAGCAATGACTTCACGATAGTGATGTGAATTAGTCCCTTGGCAGGGAGTTTCCCTGATGGAGCTCTGTATACACACACAGTGTCTAAAGCAGACCCAGAGTTCCAGCTGGGCTAGTTAGTGTATCTGTGAGCGAATCAAATTCTGCTCTCTTAAGGAGGTCGGACTGTCAGAGGGACCTTTTATTCTTGATTCAAGGTGGTCTTTTCTACTTCCTGCTTTGGCACTATTACTCATACACAGTTTTAATTACACAACTTTTTGGTAGGCCTTCAGCAGTCTAAATTTGGGTTCATGGTAAAATAAAATGGGGAAGCTTTCATATGAAAATTAATAGAAGTATACTTGGGTGACATCTATGAGTCAGCTTGCCCTTACTGTTGTTTCTAGCAGGCACAAGAACACTCATCATTGGGGATGGAGCCATAGCACAGCGGGTAGGGCTTTTGCGGCCGACCCGGCTTTGAATCCCAGCATCCCATATGGTCCCCCGAGCCAGGAATAATTCCTGAATGCATGAACCAGGAGTAACCTCTGTGCATCGCTGGGTATGACCCTTCCGCCCCCCCCCCCCCCCCCGGGGGAAAAAAAATAACACTCATCTCATCATAGTAACAAAGTTGAATTGCTTTATGGTTAACAATCAATGAACCAGGATCAAGTTGGCTAGTTGGGCCTTGATGCAAGTTTTCTAAGGCTCATTGGTCAAAAGGTGTGCAGAACTTAATGATAAGAATTTCAGACAGTTAACCTGACTGGTAACCTGAATGAGTGATGAGGTGCTGTCAAGTACTGTCAGTAGAAAGGAAATTAGTATCACATGCTAAAAGACAACTAGTTTTTGAAAAATATTTATTTCTCATTTGATGAAATGAACATTTTAGCAATGCACTTTTAAAATCTTCTGACTTTAAATTACTTTTGAAATGTTTAAATACAGACCAGCAAATTTTTTATTGTATGAGTTGAATTCTTTGGGGGCATAAAAACCATTTTAGCTGTTTAAGAACTTTTTATTGGATAGAAAAATATAAACATAAAGTTGTAGAGTAATAAGAAATTCTCCACACTGAATAAAAACTAGTAGTAACTTTTATATTTTGAGAACTTGATTCTGTGAGGTGCAATTGGCTCTCATTAGACCATAGTGTTCCTGACATTAAAGTTTACATTTTTACAATGTATTCTTTAAATACAGAAATTGACAGGATTCAGTTTTTCAAAGTCTGTTTGGGATTTTCTTTTTTCCCTCTGACCCATCTTTGAGTCTATAAAAGAGTGCCGGGCCAAGAAACAATAGTGAGGGTAATTTTTCCTCTAAGTTCTTTCAGCATCCTTGCTAAGCTAGCGTGTACCATTCCTGATGTACTTCTTCCATTGACAGCAAGAAGCATATCACCACATCTAAAAGCAAAACAAAAACCACAAAATACATGATTAATATTTTAATTCATAGTTGAAGTTAGTGCAAGTTTACCAGTGAAGTTGAAATTAGTGCAGGTTTATATGGTGTTCTTAGTTCTCACTGCATTCATCAATTTTAATTTCATTCCTTATAACTAAACATTTTCTATTCCTCCCACCAATTTAACTGCAAATTCTGTATCCTTGCTTCTCCTATTAGAAGGGATGCTAAAGGTTTAAGAAGTTGCTTGCTCTATGGGACCAAGAGTAATCACTGTGGATTTTTTAAAAATTGAATGCTGCATAAATGTTCTTAATTTCTTAGCAATGAAACAGATCTAATAAATACAGCTTATTCCAAATAGGGCCAAACATAAAATAATACTTGATTATATTATTCAAGTAGGTGTTATTACCTAATTCTTCCATCGTTGTATGCTGGTGTTCCTTCAACAATGGATTTGATAAAAAATGGTTGATTCCCATTGTATTCTTCATAACCTCCTACAATGCAAAAGCCCAGACTTCCAGCCGTATTTCTTCTTAATATAACATCTTTACAGTTAAATAAGTACCTGAAATAGTATACACATTTAAGTTTGACTTAGTGAATAATTTGTGATTTATTTCCCATTCCCTTTATTAGCTTTATTTTTAAGTGCTGAATAAATAGCACTAGATGTATTTCAAAATTGTATCCTTCCCAGGATCCTTTGTTCTGTTAGTTGGCTTTTTCTAATTTAACTTCAGTGTTTCATAGCTTAACACTTTAAAAAGACCACCATCTGTTGTTATGTTCTGTTTATATAACTGAGAAAGAATATTTTGGGTCAAGAAAGGGCTGGAGTGAGTACACTGGGTAGAGCATTTGCCTTGCACTCAGCCTACCCAAGTTAAATCCTGGGCATCCCATATCGTCCCCTAAGTCCATCATGAGTGATCACTGAGCACCGCTGAGTGTGGCACTTCCCCCAAGGGGGGAAGGGGAAACCCCAAAACTTTGGACCCTGAAGATATTAAATATTAATTTCAATTTATGTTCAAAAGTTGCATATACCTAAATTCTTATTAAGGCTGAACCAAATCTAAATGTGATTATGAATGTCACTTTTTAGCTTGTGGATATACATTTATTTTAAAAAACTAAGTTAATCTTTTTAAATGGCTTCTAAATCTAACCCTATAAATGGATTTCCTACAGTTTATTATATTTTTACTTTTTTTTTTTTTCTTTTTGTGTCAGACCCTGCGATGCACAGGAGTTACTCCTGGTTCATGCATTCAGGAATTATTCCTGGTGGTGCTTGAGGGACCACATGGGATGCTGGGAATCAAACCTAGGTTGGCTGTGTGCAAGGCAAAACACCCTACCCGCTGTGCTATTGCTCCAGCCCCTTTATTTTCACTTTTGAAGAATGGCTGTTTACAGTTCTTTTTGGTAGGTGATAACAGAAGTATTTAAGCACAGAAAGTAAATGGAAATTTATGAGTATAAATAATGGTTTCGTTTGAAGGAAGAAACACTCAGATAATGAAATAGTAGTTTATAAACAGATGGGCGAAAGAATACAGTCATTAAATGAGGATTCCTTTGAGCTAACAGAAAATTAAATATATACTGTTCAGTATCAGTTGGATCATTGTCACATAGGTATAGACTTAAGTGCAAATGGTGTTACAATTACAACAGGTTGTTTATGAGAAGCTGGATTTCACTTAAATTCCCTAATCAGAAAGGGTGTTTGAAAAGTAGTGTTTTTGTGTTGGTGGAACCGACATAAGGCCGCTTAATTAACTGTACCTTAAAATAATTGCCTTTTAAAAAAAATGCCACTAATGCTTTGTGAAATGTTTTGTTAGTGATTGCTGGTCACATTTGACAACAACCTCGCTAATCAGTGTAACATGACATACTATGTTGCTGTCTCCTGCTTGAAATGAAACAAGCCTTGGATATGTTTGGCAAGTAAGTTTAAAAATGTAAACTAAACTCAATTTTGTTTTGTAGCCAATGCCATATATATAATACAGAGATCAATTTCTTACATTAAGATGGTAGTTGTAAAATTTATTAAATGAAACATAACCACATTTTCCTTGTAAAATATCCATTTGCTGTCTTTTCAATAGTAAATTCATCCTGTAAGAGCCCTGGGGTGCCAGGTCACTGGCTGCTTATGTAGAAAGGAGATAGATACCCATCATTGTTTCCCAATGATTAGAGTCTGTATATTTCCGTCTTACCCAACTGGGGATGGAGTTAAATATAGAATTAGATGATTATCACCTAAAGTCATGGTCAAGTATATCTGCCTTATATCCCAGTTGTGAATCTTTAAGATTCTGTTAGATTAGAGATATAATACAGGAGTTAAAGCGCTTGCTTGCATGTGTCCAAGCCCATTTTGATCCCACCACTACATGTGGTGCTCTGATCACTGCCAGGAGTGATCCCTGAGCACAGTCAGGTATGTGCCACTCCCTGCCCACCACCCCCAATCACCAAAAATAACAAATGGGCACATAGAACAATGCTTGAAAGAGTATTTGACCATTGTTTTTCCAGTAAGTATTACCTTGGATCTAACGCTGAAATCTACTGAATTATTTCACATGAATAAGTATAATAGGACCCTCTGAAATGTCTGTGTTCCAGAGAAAACCTGCAACATGAAGTCACAAGGGTTGTTCCTGGGGAGAACCTGTTCAATCACCTTTCAGCAGAGGCAGGCTGGGTACACCGTGCTCAGGCACTTAGTGTAGAGACCACAGCATTCCCATGTTGCCCCTATGACCAAGAGTAAGAGCACCTCTCTGTCGTGAGCCTTCTCTGCTGTCCTGTGGTAGTGAGACCACAGTGTTAGACTTTCAAAAGTCAGAAAATGTCACACCTGGGTTGGTTGGGACTTCTGAGCATCAGAGGAGAGGCTATTGAGGAACTTTTCCTCCTGGAGTACTTCACTCCCTGCTAGGCAAAGACTAAAAACATTGAGCTACTAGAATCAACTCTAAATGGGATTCTGAATGCATTCGATTCAAGCCTAAGGGAAGAAAACAAGAGTTCAAAGAAGAACAAGGGGGTGGTTTTTCCCCAAGGAGAAAATGGTCATTTCTGTCTAAACTCCACTTTGAAAGCCTTTCTTGATGTAGTCAGCTCTGTCAGGGCGTGACTTATGAAGGGACTTCTTTTCCCGTTTCACTATTCCTTCTCGGGCTCTCTTGAGGGCTCCCTTTGCCAAGCTCTGTCTTGCAAGGCTGGCCAGTGCAGTGCAGCTGGGCCATCAGGGCTGAAGTGTGAGTGCCAAGTGGCCAGCCAAGACCAAACCTCGCCAATGTCTAAAAGGAGGCAGCTTGGTTGGCATTTCAGCTCCGCCTGTTCACATACCTTGTGGCCTTGAACAAGAGCCACTTTAAGGCAAGTTTTGTCTTGGGGACACATCTCCTGGCTCTGCTCAGCGTTCACTCCTGGTGATTATGGGACCATATTTGGTGCCCGGAATTCAAGCCTGTTTCAGCTGCATGTAAGGCAAGCACCTTAACCCCTGTACTTAACCCTCATACTTGCTTTCTAAGACTCCTTAAATTGCTCCAGCTCCTGTGGTAGTTTTAAATGAGAGGGAAGTGCAAACAAAGAAAATGTAAAACCTGAATAAATACCCATCATCTAAAAAAAAAATACAGACTTAGTCTGCCATATGGAAAAGTTAGAGAATCAGCCACTGATGACAGATTATTACTACAGGCAGCAATGGACCTAATAGTGTTCCCTGCCTAGACCTAGAAATTTCCGACTTAAAAAAAAAATCTGACACCTGCTCTCATACAGAGTCCTCTTCTAGATTATTTTGAAGAGTTTTGGGAGAGTGAAAGTTTCCATTATTGGGAGGAGAAATGCATTCATGTGCACTGCTACACTTGTTCGGCGTGTTTTGAAAGCCAGTTGTGGAGTATGGCCCTGGTTGCAGAATAAAGCAGCAGGTCTTCAGAGAGGGCCCCCTCTATTCTCCCAGGAAGATGGGAGAGTGTTAGCACTGGAGCACACATCCCCGGACACCTATAAGCCCCAGATAAGAGGACAATGAGGATAAAGGACCTTTGAAAAAAATGTCAGGTGGATTTACTTCTTTCAAATAGCAGCATGCAAATGCATGTCTCCCTTTGTTTTAAGAATGACTAGAGAGACCATAGAGCACGAGGGTAAAGGACTTACTTGCCTTGTATGCTCCAGAGGGATGCCTCGAGCACTGTCAGGAGTGGTCCCTGAGCACAGAACTGGGACTAGCTCCGGAACATCACTGGATGTGACCCCAAAACCAAATAAAAGTAACTGGAGAAACAACTGGGAAACTTGGGAGCAAAAAGTAATAAAACCACAAGCTCCATTTTCAACCTAACAAGTCTCTAGGAGGGAAAGTTGCCAAAGGCTGTGGAAGTAAGAGGTGAGGTGGGAGCGGGTGCCCAGCTGGAGGGTGAAGGGAGCCAGCCACGCCCTCAGCTCCCAGGGACAAAAAACACCCACACTCCACAGGGGAGCACCCGGAAGAGGTGACTGCAGTGAGCAAAGCAGCAAAAAGGGCATAAGTGAGGCAGTGAGATCCCACACAGATAGCTCACATGTACCAGGTAGAGCCTCCTGGGCTCAGGTGGAAAGAGACTGCCAAAGACTCATCCCCATCTGGGAGGGGTAAAACATGCCCTGTGTGTGTCTGTGTGTGAGTGTGCACACACATGCACTCATGCCGGTGTGTGGTGTATGTCCCTGTTTCCTTCTCCACAGGAGAGAACCACTTCCTGAAATGCTGAACTAGCAACAACGACTAACAAGCAATCAGGGATACACTACAAAGAAAAGAGGGAAAGGAACTGAACTGGCAAGAGAAATGCCACCATGGAAATGAACTGCTACCAGAAATGAAATTTACAAACAATTATACCACAATGAAATTAATAAAAAATCTGCTGTATAACCAAGGGAACTGACTGGGCAGAAAAAGATTTCAAGGACAGTTTGATAAAACTGGAAAACAAGTTTACAGGAAGTAGAGAACAAAAAGCTTTCAAAAGAAAAGACAAAAATCACTGAAAGCAAGACTAGGAAAGGTGATTAAAATCAGCAAAGAAAACAGGATGGAAATAGAGGTGAAAAGGATGTAAAAGAAAATGAAAGCTAAATGGTATTCAGTGCAAAGCTAGGGTCAGTAATGCTGAAGTCACAGCTACTGCTAATATTAGGTGAAAAGACCAAACTATACAGGAGGAAAGAAACCTGACAGGCCTGATCTTCGTTCCACTGTTCAATATGAGTTATCAGATTATGATGCCTCAAAAACGTCTTAAAAGAAAGAAGTCTTCTTTTGACTTCTCCTTTTAGTTTTCCTTTTGTTACACGCTGTGTAGTGCTTGACTGACCAGGTGGTATCAACCGAGGGAACTTGGGCCTCCCATATGCCCAGCAAGTGCTCAACCCAGTGTGAGTTATAATCTGATCATTTTCTCTCTAGACAGACTGTCTCTTGGAGGTGTGGATGAGCTGAATTTGTGGAACCAATTCCTCTTGGTGGTGAACATGACAACATTGCAATGATGAGCACTTGATTGGGCATAGATTTTGCTGATGGGCTGGTATGTGAGGCTGAAGATAAAAAAACAAGTGAGGGATCTGCTTGTAGCCCGGCCTCCACAAACCATGGTGCATCCAGGCTAGAGACTAGTGCAGCCTTGCAGAGACACAGCGTGATCTGTACCGAGGGCCATGATGCCCAGGATATATGCTTGGGTTTGAACAACCACTACGGAGTGTCTAGTTTTTATGCTCTGTATGTGTGCGTGTGTGTGTGTGTGTGTGTGTTCTGGGAGTACAGGGTCCAGAGAGATAGTATAGCAAAATAGAACTTTTCCAAGCCAGGTTTGATCCCAACCAACACCTACAGTTTCTCAAGTACCTCCAGGAGTGATCTCTGAGCATGGAGCCCTGAGCATCACTGGGTGTGGCCCCCAAACAAACAAATATGGGGGTATAAGTTCTGTCTGCTCATCCACAAGATACCCATGGCTGCTTTCATCCTCCTACAGTTGGAATAGCTGTGTGACCCCGAGGGCAAACCCTTGGATTCCTGGCAGACTCTCTGGAAGAACACAAAGGTTTGTTGTATCAGGGCTGACCTCTGTGCAGTTGGGCTAAGAGCACTGAGCAGGGAGACTTGCTTTCCCTCACTCTGGACCTTTTGGTGCTCTCTGAATTTTTTCCTGTGCTCGTGTTCTGTGGGAAATGAGGGAAATAGGAAAGTAAGAATTGCCAAGGTGACCAAAAACGTGTCGTCTGAGCAGCCAACATTTTGCTCTTTCCACTTTTGTTTTAGGTAAGCAGTGCTAGAGGTTGAACCCCAAGCTTCACACATCTGAAGGTCTACCCAAGCTTCATCTCCAGCCTTCTCCTTTTGTTTTTATTTTCACTATTGTTTTGGGGCCACACTGGCTGTGCTCAGGATTTACTCCTGGTTCTGAGCTCAGGGATCACTCCTGGCAGGCTTGGCACCACATGTGGTACCAGGGATTAAACCCTGGTCTGGAATGCGCAAGGCAAATGTCCCATCCATTATACTATCACTTTACCTTCCCTCTTTTATTTGTTTATTTATTTATTGGCTTTTGGGGTCACACCTGGCAATGCACAGGGGTTAGTCCTGGCTCTGCACTCAGGAATTACCCCTGGCGGTGCTCAGGACCATATGGGATGCTGGGAATCATACCTGGATTGGTTGCGTGCAAGGCAAACGCCCTACCCGCTGTGCTATTGCTCCAGCCCCAACCTTCCCTCTTCTTTTAAAAAGTGAGTGAAATCTATTCTCTGGCAAGAACAGACAAGGGCAGGCTACATCCGAGGGCAAGTGACAGAGGAAAGAAAGAGAGAAAGCCATCTTCCCAGCTGTGTTGGAATGAAAAGCATCTCCCACAGGTCCTGTCCTACAGGAATTAGCAGGCAGTAACTGGATCATAGCACAGAAACACTTTCAAGCACCAAGAAATTACGAGAGAGAGAGAGAGAGAGCGAGAGAGAGAGAGAGAGGGAGAAAAAAGAGCGAGAGAGATCCAATGTATTCTATTTCAGTTTCAAAAAATTTCTTTTAATAAAATTTTCTTTTAAAAAAAGTGTTCCCTCATCTACCCAGGCTGCTTCGATGCTCAGTTTGCAACTATTTTTTTTTAAGTGCACTGATTTGAAGAAACAAATCATCGAAGGCTTAGCCAAGGAATCTAGGTCAGTCTGTATTTGAGTCAGGGATTATTTTAGACCTCATTTAAAATTTAAGAGAAAAGGGAAAAACGACTCATCTCCACCCTCCAGAAAAATGCACCAAAACCACACATCCTGCTTCCTTCACTTAATCCCATGTCATCCTGTCATCCTCTGCAGTTACCACTAATCATAGGAAGACGATCCTGTGCACACCCAAAGTGTCTGCTCCTATGCAGGTCATCAGCCCCCAGGAGAGGTGTCCTTCTGGTATTTCATGTCTGTAGAAGGCCATTTGCTAAGGCTCCCCCTATCCCCCACCATACCCTTTCCTCGAGTGTCTCTATGAATAGATGACAGATTTCGTGGGATGAGATGAAATGCTAACTTGTGAAATGGCAACTCAGCTGCCTGCTTGACATTGTCCGCAGGAACGTTAATACTTAAGCCCGGGGTGGAGAAGCTGAGAAATGCCTCTGCCCATCTGTGCTTGAACATCAGGAGAAGGTGAAACATTCTGTCTCCTTCCTTTGTGAACAAAGTGGTAAACTACGGGAGGAAGACACTGGCGGTGTTTCCCTAGGGCCACCCTACAGCTGCCACAGCCAACAAGGGAAAAGGCAACCCTCCCTTTGCCACCGGGGAAGGGATGCAAACAGGCTGTCCTCAACCCCCTTTTGCCCGGTAGGTCAGCTGAAATCCTTGCTGCACGAACAGGCACAACCATTCCGGGCAGTTCTGGAAGCTTCTCCACGTGCATCCTAACAGGGCTTCCACTTGGGTACCCAGCTCCTCCTATCCCCCCTTAGCATTCATGCATGTATTTTTCACTTCTAAAAGAGAAGACAGAATTACTTCAAATAGTCCCACACACCAGCCTGCGTCTCATTAAGATGCTAGGAGAGTGAGTCAGCCCAAGAGAGTGAAAGAGTGGTCTGCAAACTGTAACTGCCCCCTTCCTACTTTTCCCAGGGGACATCACTCTGAGACTCACCGTGGTAACTCCAGCCACATGACCCACGACGGAGACCAGTCAGTGGGCGGGGCCATGTTGTGGTTGGAGTCCAAGGCCTCAGGGTAGCTGCTATCTTCCTGGGGCTCACAGTCTCGGACTTCCAGAGCTTTAAGCACCACCGAGGAACATGTGCTTTTCAATAAGGCGACAGCCTCACTCCGGCTGACCTCGGTTAGCTCGATTCCATTCACATTCAACAGAACATCCCCTAGTGGCGGGAGAAGAAGCAGCCATCGTAAGAGCACAGACAGAACTTTCCATTGCGAGCAAGGGACAGTGAGGGGCTGGGTTGCCCCAAAGCAGCGGGGGAGGCTCCCATCCTTGCCTCTTGGCAGTCACACTTGGAGGTGATCAGTGTGCATGGACTACAGTAGCAACCAGCAGGTTGCCTTGGGGCTTCTAAAACATCACTCATCACTCTAGGTGTTGTATTTCTGTTTGTGTCCTGTTTTTAACACAAAGAGCACTTGGCAAAAGCTGCCAGCTACCATACCACATGGAGTTTAGCAACTGGGGGATACCCAGAAGCAACAGATTGAATGAACAGGAAACCCCCTGGGTACATGCAGCAGAGGAGTCCAGCAGTTAAGAAGAGTGGGCCTGGATCTGTAGCTCTTGGTTTACTGACCACACCTGGGGGTGCTCAGAACTTACTACTGGCTCTGCGCTCAGGGCTGAATCAGGGTGGTGATAGAGGGACCATAAGCAGAGCCAAAGACTGAGCCCAAGTATGCTGCCTGCAAGTCAAGTGCCTTAAACCTATCTCTGCCGCCCCTGGAACTGTGCACTTAAGAAGGTGGGATGAAGAGCCAATATTTCTCTTCAGTGCCAAAGTGATTATCACCGTCATTGGCCAAGCACCTGCTGTGTCTACCCATCCCATACATCATGTCACCCGACTCTTACATAGGTCTTCTTGATTAACTTATCATTCTCCACGCAAATGAATAGGTGAAAAAGAAAGCAAAAGAAAGAGAAACATCTCCTAACATCATTTTCTATTCTTTTTATCTCTATCTTGTTTTCTTTATTTCTTTTTGTTCTTTTTTTGTGTTTTGGAACCACATCTGACAATGCTCAGGGGTTACTCCTGGTTCTTCACTCTGGACCATATTGGATGGCTGGGGATGAACCTGGATCAGCTATGTGTAAAACAAGTGCTGTCCCCACTGTACTATCTCTCTGGCCCCTCTTTCCTGTTTGCTACTTGGAAAATCACTAATGAGTCTTGTAACACTTCCCATTTCCCCCTCTTGAATGTGAAGAAGGTTGAACATTGACCATCCATCTGAGCAACCCCTGGGAGCAGGAGATGACAATACTGCTAAGGATGCAAATTTGGTACCATCTTCCTTCATTCCAATGAGCCGGGTAAAAAGCAAGTGTATAGTCAAACACACACACAGATGAAAGTAGTCAAATACTTTTCACAGGCAGTGTACTCAGCCTGTATTTATATCTTATCAATAGTCACTGACTACTGGCTTCAAGTCGATCAAATAATTTTCCCTCTGCAGCTCCATACTGGAACAACTCAGAAATCAATTTCATCCCAGGGTCAGTAAAGAATCAGTGAGAATGTCACTGTCACTGTCACTGTCATCCTGTTGTTCATTGATTTACTCGAGCGGGAGCCAGTAACCCAGCCCCAAGATTTTAGCAGCCTCTCCTTACTCATCTTTCCCAATGCTGCCATACTGGAGGCTCTTTCAGGGTCAAAGGAATGAAACCCATTATTGTTACTGTTTTTGGCATATGGAATACGCCACGGGTAGTTTGTCAGGTTCTTTCTGCTATGCAGGCAAGATACTCTTAGTAACTTGCCGGGCTTATATATATATATATATATATATATATATATATATATATATATATTTCCCTCTATGATTTAAGACATTCCCTACCCATCCTACCCATTTTCCATAATTATCACAACATGTTTGATGGGGTTTAGACAGTAGGCAACAAATCATAGCGGGAAATCAGTGAAAATAAAGGAAGCCAAATTAGGCCTTTTAATCCAAGCAAACCTGCTCCTAATTGGAGCCATTTTTTGTTCATTCCAGGAAGCTTGTGTAACTTCCAGCTTCACTGGCAAGATGACTCACAGGGTCCCTCTGGAACTAAGAGGGGGCAAATCCCACACTCATAACCAGACGCAGACCAATCATGCCCCTGAAGAACAAACATCCCTGCCAGATCACCTCATGGTCACACTCATTAACTCTGGAAAGGAACCTAACCCAGAGGGCAGCTGGTTCCTTGAACGATGTGCCACCCCAGCTCCTTAAGTCTCTACTTTTTTTACCTGTTTTTATCCTTCCATCTCTGCTGATGACTCCTCCAGGTTCAACACTGATAACATAAATCGGCAAGTCCCACTCCCGATGGGACGCTCCCCCTGCTACTGTCATGCCGAGAGAGTCGCTGGGTTCTTTGCGGACACTCACCATCTTCTCAACACAAGTAACCGTGGGGCGGAGAAGCTGGAAATGCAAGCGGAGAAACAGCATGATTCATGTTCGTGGAGGCTTTACACTGGCTACAGACAACACCACCCACTCCCATCGAGTTCATCTGAGTTGGTGGGGGCCAGTGATGGTGTGTGTCATAGCTATATGAGGTCCTGGACTTGATCCCTGGCCCAGGAATCATCACATACACACACACACACACACACACACACACACACACACACACACATATACACACAGAACCATGTGATTGTGGTAGTCCAGGGGATAGACAGAATGTGCATTGCTCCCTCTAGCCATTCTCAAAATTCTGGAGATGGACTCAGCCACAGTTTGCTTTTCAAATGGGACCCGTAGAAATAACAGAAGGAACAGGTTAGAAATGGCAGGAGAAGTACTCTGCAAAGGGAACTGCATCCCCAAGTTCTAGCAACTCCTTTATTCCTGAGAATGATGAGTCAGCATTTCATAAAACTCCTGCCAATGTTGAGGACCATCAGGAATGTCTTACAAGTTATGAAAAGAGTAATATTCGAATAGAGTTGAATTATTATATTACCTAACTTTTAATATTTATTATTATTATTATTGTTTTGGAACCACACTTGGCAGGGCTTATGACTTACTCTTTGTTCTGCACTCAGGAATCACTTCTGGCAGAACTCAGGAGACCATATATAGTGCCAGGGATCAAACATGGGTCAATAGCATCCCAGGCGAGTACCCTACTATCTTTCCAATCCAATTACCCCAGTTTGATTTGTGCAAGTAACTCTGGAAATCCCAAGAGAAAATTAATGGACTTTAAGTACTCTCAGAATTCACCACTGCCTCAGAGCTCTCCAATGGTCATGCTTAGCTTAATTTAATAGCTCTAAGTAATCTATAGTTAAGGTGGCTCTGTTGTGCAATGGATAGCATACTGGATTTTCAAATTACCTTCAGTTGTAGCCTTTAGTTTTATTGTAAAAATATAGTGTACTGTGTAGTATATACTGTGGACAAATTTTTGAAAAGCAAACAAAAAATATCAAGATGTGATTCAACAACATAGGATTGAAAATGTCCAAAGTCACAAGCAGTATCACCTTGAAGCAACTAGAGTAGGCTCCAGGGCACTATTTAATGAACACAGTCCAATCTATAGTTTTCTGGAAAAGGTTTCTCCCTGTCTGTGCAGTGATTATGAACTATAGCAGTGGGCATGGGCACTGATAAATGTTTGTTTTTATTTTTGTTTTGGTCCCACACCCAGTGATACTCAGGGTTTACTCCTGGCTCTGGACTCAGGAATTATTCCTTGCAGTGCTCAGGGGACCGTATGGGATGCCAGGGATTAAATCCAAAACCCACCTCTGGTAAATATTTCTAACACATTAACACTTTATCCAATATCCAAGAAAAATATGGCTGAAAACAAAACTAAGGGGCCAAAGTGATAGTACAGCATTTAGGGTACTTGCTTTGTATGTGGCAGACCCAGGTTCAATCCCCGACATCCCCTATGGTTCTCTGGAAATCCCTAGGGAAAATTAATGAACTTCAAATACTCTCAGAATTCACCACTGCCTCAGAGCTCTCCAATGATCATCCTTAGCTTAATTTAATAGCTCTGAGTAATCTAGAGTTAAGGTAGCTCTTAATCACTGGGTATGGCCCATAATAAAATAAAGAAACAAATAATAGAAAGTTAAAACAATGTAAAAAAAATAAATGAACAAAATAGTGTAACCATACACTCATTATATTAGAAGGATAAGATCTTATCAGTACTTGCTGTTTCATAAAGAAAATAAGGGGTACTGTGGGGGTGGAGGTGAGGAACAAACATATCTGAGAGCCAGGGACTTCTTATAGCACACTTTGCATTTCTCAAAAACCTGTGAATATATTATGCAGTCAACAAATAAGTTACAATTGAGGACACCTTGACTTTTGATGCGTCTATGAGCTCATGCTCTTCTCTGGTTAGAATTATCCACATCTGATTTTGTGGCCTTATGAAAGATGATAATAACCTGTTACTCCATCCCCAGCCCTTGCGTATAGAATTAGAACACTGAAGAAGCAAAGTAAATGTTTGTCAACAAACATATACATTTTAAATTGCTATGATTTGGTGAGGTGGTAGTAATAGAATAAGTGATCGATTAAAATTAAGTAGCACTGTAGCACTGTCCTCCTGTTGTTCCTCGATTTGCTCCAGCCAGCCCAGTAACGTCTCCATTGTGAGACTTGTTGTTACTGTGTTTGGCATATTGAATATGTCAAGGGTAGCTTGCAGGCTTTACCCTGCGGGTGAGATACTCCCAGTAGCTTGCCGGGCTCTCTGCAAAGGGTGGAGGAATTGAACCTGGGTCAGCCCAGTTGGCTGTATGAAAGGCAAATGCCCTACCTGCTTTAAAAAAAAATTTTTAAAAAGGACAAAGTTTGTGCTACCATGCCTATTTGTAATGTCTGGGTTGTGTTTCTATAAACCCCTAAAACTTGGAGAGCTCTGAAGATCAGGCTATCAGACAAGGGCTGTGAAGCTGAAATGGAACTTTCTTCAGCAAAAGTTTCAAAATAGAAGAAATGAGCAGCAGGATGAACACAGGCATTGCCACACTCCTGCCAAGGCCGGAGGAGAGTTGAAGGGCACTCTCAGGGTCCACGTCCTCTCTTCCCTTCGGGAAAACTGCAGATACTCAACATAACCACCAACACCTGTCACAGAGGTCCCCTTGGCAGTGCCATGCCCCATAACTGGAGGCAGAGTTCTACAACAAGACTCCTATCGGCTGCTCTGCTGCTTCAGCTGAATCCTGACTTTCTTTCTAAAGCACCTGATCCCCACACAGAAAGAGCTTAACACCATGATTCCTATATGGGATCAAAGAGTAACAGAGGGTTCATGGGTCAATCTCCCGAAGTTATGTCATAGAAGTGAGTATGATATAGAAAACAAAGGCACCTCTTCATATTTTCCAAAAGAACATATACAGGGCTAGAGTGATAGTATAGCAGGGAGGGTGTTTGCCTTGCATGTAATCAACCTGGGTTCAATCCCCGGCTCCAGATATGGTCCCCCAAGTCCCACCAGGAGTGGCCCCTGAGTGCAAAGCCAGGAGTAAGTCCTGAGCACCATTGGATGTGACCCCAAAATAAAAACAAAAGAATATATGTTACCACATTCATTCAAAAGGACCAAGATGATATATATTTTGAGCTATGCCAAAAGTGACCATAACTTCTCTCTGGCCTCTCCATGATTTCTTGATTCATTCAAAAGGACCAAGATGATATATATTTTGAGCTATGTCAAAAGTGACCATAACTTCTCTCTGGCCTCTCCATGATTTCTTGATTTTGTTGTAAATGAATGTTGTCTGAATACATGAAGAGTGGCTGGATACTTCTTTAGCAGAAGGAAAACAGTATCTACTATCTACTAAAATACTACTAAAGTTGTCTTTTAGAGGCAATAAATATCTGTGATCAACTGAGCTACCTATTTTCAATAACCCAGGAAAAAACATAAGGAAGGCTGATGGCCTAATTTTTCCATTAAGAGCTTAACTATTGCATTGGCTAGACAGCGTCACCCAAATCAATTTTGTCAAATGAAATTCCTGACCTATAAAACGGGGCTAATGAAGCCCACACACTCCTGGCTGCAGGGTGCATGATTTATGCTGAGACCAAGTTCCTGGAGGGCTGTGTTCTCTCACTCTCCTCAGAGTTTCCTAAACACTCTAGCTGCAAGGGAGCGAAGGGGATTTATGGACACCCACAGGCTCAGTATGAAAGGCTGGCTGGGACACCCCAAAGAAGAGATGCATCCATGTGTCCCCTTGTCTCCAGAAGCTATCAGCTAGAGTCCATGTTAGGAATGGAAACTCCAAAGTGCCCTGTGAGCCCTTCCTGTCTACCTAGGAAACCTATAATGACTGGAAGAATCAGATACGTCGGGGATGTTGTTCTCCCTCATTCATTTCCTTCCCTCAGAGGCTTCGGCATGTTCTCACCTATTTACAAATGTGATTCATTATGAAATAGTTCAAACTGTTTAAAAACCATCAGGAGGCTGGAGAGATAGTCCAACAGCTAAGGCGCTTTCTCTGCTTGCAGCCAATCCAGGGTTGGTCTCCCACACCATATATGATCCCTTAGGCCTCAGCAAGAGTGAGCCCAAGCACAGAGCCAGAAGTATGCCCTGAGAACTGCCAGATGAGGCCTTACAACAAAACAAACAAATAAACAAATATCATGGGTTCCTGTGAACTTATCTCTTAGCTATAAAAACACATTGAAGAGTATTTGTTTTAAATATTTGGTGTTTTCTTTTCTTTCTTTTTTTTTTTTTTTTGCTTTTTGGGTCACACCCAGCAATGCTCAGGGATTATTCCTGGCTCTACACTCAGGAATTACTCCTGTCAGTGTTTGGGAGACCATATGGGATGCCGGGGATTGAACCCAGGTCGGCTGCATGCAAGGCAAATGCCCTACCCGCTATGCTATCATTCTGGCCCCTAAATGTTTTTTTTTTTTCTTTTTGTGTCACACCCGGTGATGTACAGGGGATACTCCTGACTCTGCACTCAAGAATTACTCCTGGTGGTGCTCAGGGGACCATATGGGATGCTGGGAATTGAACCCGGGTCAGCTGCATGCAAGGCAAATGCCCTACCCGCTGTACTATTGCTCCAGCCCCCTGCTTTAAATGTTTAAAAATAAAACTTTTTTAGACATGAAGAAAGGAGTGCCAGGAAAACACCGTGACTACCCAGGGTCCTAACAGTCCAGAGTCAGGAGCATACAATCTGGGCACGTTAGTAGCCCCTCAAGACTCTGTTGGTCAAACCTCTTCCCCTCTCTAAGAGGAAACTGCGACCTCCACTCCATGCCTCTCACTTTCACTCCTCCCTTGGCGGGACGCTTTCCAGCCCCACAAATCCTGGTTTGCCTGCTCTGGTGTTTCTTTGGATCATTTAAACTTCTTTTCAAAAGTCCTGTTGCTACTTAAATAAAACAAAACTTTAGTAGCATCATAAAACATGAAATCAAAGAACCATATGTCTTAATTTTATTTTCAATATGCCACTGTGTGTGTGTGAGGGAATTTCAGGAGGCAGATAGAACTATAAAATGAAAATAATCACTATTCCCTGCCAGACCCGTTTTCTATATGTGTTTTCCAGGAAGTGGACGCATGGTGTGTGTGTGTGGGGGGGGGGGGGGAATACAGAAAAAATCTGATCAAATCCTACTGGCTCATTCCATGACTCATGATGGGTAGGTGGGAGGGATAAGATGCTCTAAAACCACAGTGCCGGAAAAAGTTTTCTTCCTAGCGTTCTACTAAACTAGAATAGAATATTGTCTAGTTAATTAAACACTAATTAGATGAAAACTATAATTGAATAAGCTGGTTTACTATTACAAAATGCCATTGGTTTGACTTAAACATGCTAATGATATTTACCAGTGAAAAGACACCAGGGAGCCATTAGCCGTAACATTTTTAGCAGGATGTACTTGATCTGTCTAGATGACTTATTGCAAATAAAACTGTAATTTATAGATTTATGGTACAGAGCTGGCCAGAACAAGGAGAGGGGATGTGGCCTTATAAGTTGCGTAAACAGAGCAGACATTCCAAAAAAAAAAAATAAGATATTGACTGTTGTTTCTGCATACACTGCTCAAAGATTTAACTCGTAATTTCTTTCAAACCAAAATATTTCCTGATGGGCTATGTTGACTCTGATAGGACAAGAATGGGCTACCTATACGTCAGTTTTTGAAATTTTTACAAGTGATTGTAATGGAACTAAATCCAAGGAGAAATGATGGCTAGGAATTCATTGTGATCCTGAGATACTAATCCAAGACTACTAGGATGCTAAAACTGTCTCAAGCCAGTGGGACACTGTTTAGACAGCCATTTCCAAGGAGTGATTGTCTAAAAAATACAAAAACACAAATTCAAACTGGGCTGAGAGTCACCTCATTGAAAGAGCAGTTGCGGGGCTGGAGTGATAGCACAGCTGGCAGGGTGTTTGCCTTGATGCAGCCAACCAGGGTTCAATTCCCAGCATCCCATATGGTCCCCTGAGCACTGCCAGGAGTGTTTCTTGAGTGTATGAGCCAGGAGTAATCCCTGTGCAATGCTGGGTGTGACCCAAAATGCAAAAACAAAAAAAAAAAAGAGAGAGAGAGGTTGCAAATTGCTGGCCTGAAGGATGGATTCCATCTAAAGGAAGATGGAAGATGGGTTCTTTTTTGCCCTCTTTTGAATCTTTTCAGGATGTGAATGCATCAGATAGCACATGCCCTCTTGGGCTGGCCCCAATCTGCACTCCTCCCTAATGCTAGAGGAGCTGCAGACTTCTCCTGATTTTTCTAGACCCTTCTGCAGAAATAGACTGGAAGGAGCAAGAGGAACCATTATTTCCATTTATGGGCAGACAGGGAACTTCAAAAGCCAGAAACAAAGCTGATTCCTTGTTTCATTTCAAAATGAATGAAAACCACTCTTTCAGCAGAATGACTGTTGGAAAAACATGACACCTATTTGATTTATGCTAGCCCCTTGGGCCCACTCTGAGGCCTGGGAGGTCAGCTTTCGGAACATTCCTGTACATTCCCTGCTCCTGCTGAGACACAAGACACCTGTCATCTCCCCAGATCCTGAAGATGGAACATGGGCCTTTTAGTCTTGCAGGTCAAATAGCATGTCTTTATGTGATGAACTCCAGAGAACACACTCCTAGGATAAAGGTGTGCAGCTGTGCCCGGGAGCTCTCCTCGCAGGGACCCCAGACAGCCCTTACCTTCCGAGTGTTGCTACGGTCCCCTGGCTCTGGGGATCGGCTGCCGTTGCTCCAGCTGCCCTCCTGGAAGATGTCAGGACTGTGGGGGCGAAGTTGGCGGGACACGATGAGATGAACACGCCTCTCACTGGCCTGAGGGAGAAGACATAAGTGTCAGTCCTAGAGGAGTCCCCAGCCAAAGCAGCGAGCCCACAGGGTTGCCCAAGATGTGAGCTTGGTTTTACTTTGTGTGTAACACTGTAGGACTGTAGCACTGTCCTCCCCTTGTTCCTCGATTTGCTCAAGCAAGCGGGCACCAGTAACATCTCCACTGTGACACTTGTTACTGTTTTTGGCATGTCGAATACGCCACGGGGAGCTTGCCAGGCTCTGCCATCGGGCAGGATACTCTTGGTAGCTTGTGAGGCTCTCTGAGAGGGGCGGAGGAATCGAACCTGGGTAGGCGGTGTGCAAGGCAAACTCCCTACCCACTGCTCTATCGCTCCAGCCCACTTTGTGTGTACTCAGAAATAAAATAAGTTTCTAGGGCTGGAAAGACAGCTCAGGAGGGAAGGCACTTGCCTTGCATAGGGCTGTGGTGATTCAAATACCCAGTGCCACATAGAGCCAGGAATGGTCCCTGAGAACCGATGGCATGTCCCACCCCAACGCAAAATGGAAAGAAAGAAAAAAAAATAGGCTTATTGGGGCTGGAGAGATAGCACAGTGGGTAAGGCGTTTGCCTTGCATGCAGCCAACCCAGGTTTGATTCCAGCACCCCATATGGTCCCCTGAGCACTGCCAGGAGTAAGTCCTGAGTGCAGAACCAGGAGTAACCCCTGCGCATCTCTGGATGTGACCCAAAAAGCAAAAAAAAAAAAAAAAAAAAAAAAAAGTCTTATTCATTCTGGAGATTCCTCAAAAAAACTAAAAATAAAGCCACCAGATGACCCAACAATCCCACTGCTTGGTATCAACCCATAACACACAAAAACATTCATTCAAAGACACACACACACACACACACACACACACTTCTAAAGTCATGGCAGCACTTAGTACACTAGGCAAGATATGGCAGCAGCCCAGGTGTGCAATGACAGAAGATGGAAAATCAAGTTATATAGAGGTCTTTATTTCAGCCACAAAGAAGGATAAAATCATGCAATTTGTTGCAACTTGGATGGAACTGGAGGATCTTATATTAAGTGAGAAGGACAATTAGCTCTCACTAATCTGTGTTATACAGAATAACTTGTCTAAAGAATTGCAAAGATGGACAAAACACTGGCTCTAGGTTACAGAGACAAAAATGCCAAGGAAGGAGAGAAACAGAAAAGGGGAGCAACAAGCAAAGGTCTAGCTGTATTGCAGGAACAAGGGACAGGGCGCTTGGTCACCTCTGTGAAGTAAAGATGAGTTATCTGTACACAGCGAAACCACCGGATGGAGCAATTGTGTAAGCACGGGCCCCAAACAACAACAACTAAACTTAAAACTGTAACTGTCAAGGAGTCAGGCCGGGGGAGGGAAGCAGGGGTAAGTGGTGGAGGGATGGGGACACGGTGTGGGATTGGAGGTGGGAACACTGTAAGCCTGAAAACCCATAGAGGACGATTATATAAATAATGGGTCTAAGTAAACAAAAGGGGAAAAACAGGCTTCTTGTATTTTTTTTGTGGCAGCAACTGTTTGTGTGTGTGTGTGTGTGATTTGGGAAGATCATGAGTGACCTTTCCTCTCTCCTTAAATTGGGTCATGAAGATCATTTCAAGGAAAAAACTGGAAAAGGATGTTTTTGCAAAGAGAAAGAAATGATATAAATCAGTCTCCCTGATGGGCTGAGCGGATGTGGCCAGTGGACCTCATCGAGGCCAGAGTGAGTCAGATCTGCGGGTGGTTAAGGCCTGGTTAGATCGGACTGATGGGAACTCACAGAAAGACCAGGTCGGGGCATCAGGAAGGTTTGGAGAAGAGTAAATTCTGGGGCAGATCGGGAGAAACATCATTCTCGTTTCTTCCTCCCATCCCTGGGATGCTCACAGCCACAACAGTGTCGGACCAGGACCAGCCGGCCCTTTTCCTCCTTACATCTGCTTAACAGACACTGGAAAAAGCAGCCCAGGAAAGGAAATCACAAAAAGGCCACACTCTGCCCCACCAGCTCAGCCTGGGAGCGGAGACAGTGGCCTCCAGCCTCTCTCCCTCTCCCTTCGCAGTCTGTAACTTATACCCATCTTAGGAGACAGGACCTGGATCTTATAAAGTGTGTATTTATAGTCTCCTTCCTTTTTGTTTTTGTTATAGGTGTTGCAGTGATGAATGTGGGGAGGGAGGCTGAGCACACACTCAATTGTGGTATTCTCACACATTAGTTGAGGTGTGTGCGCGCACACACACGTATGCACATGTGATTGTGGTACAGTAAGGACTGCATACTTGGTTGTGGTTCTGAGGCTCCCAGACAGCAGAGCCACCTAGATCATGCTAGGTGCAAGGAGGGCAGAGCCTGGGATTGAACCAAGGTCTCAGACATGCAGGCTTGGCCACTGAATCAGGTCCCGAGAGGTCTTTGTTTCTCTGTGTATATTTGTTTGCTTGGTTTTGGGGCCACACCCAACACCTGTGCTCAGGGCTTACTCCTGGTCCTGTGCTCAAGAATCACTTCTGTATAGTCGAAGTGACATCTACACTTGTTTGTTCATTGCAGCACTGTTTACAATAGCTACAATCTGGAAAAAACCTGAATGCCCAAGAACAGATGACTGGTTAAAGAAACTTTGGTACATCTACACAATGGAGTACTATGTAGCTGTTAGAAAGGATGAAGTCATGAAATTTACATACAAGTGGTACTACATGGAAAGTATCATGCTAAGCAAAATGAGTCAGAAAGAGAGGGACAGACATAGAAAATTTGCATTCATCTAGGGAACATAAAGTAACAAAATAGGAGACTAACACAAAAGAATAGCTGAGATAAATACCAGGAGGTTTACTTCATGGCTTGGAGGCCAGCCGCACACTCTAGGGGTAAAGGCAGCTCAGATAGCGAGGGGAACACCAAATAAAAGGTGTTGTGAAGATCTGCCCAGGATGGGAGATGCATGCTGAAAGTCGACTATAGACCCCGAACATGATAGCCACTCAATGCCTCTTTTGCAAACCACAGCACGCAAAAGGATAGAGAGAACAAAAGGGAGCGCCCTGCCACAGAGGCAGGGTGGGATGGGGGGGATGGAGGGTGGGAGGGATACTGAGATTAGTGGTGGTGGAGAATGGGCACTAATGGAGGGATGGGTACTCAATCATTGTATAATTGAAACCCAAGCACAAAAATTTGTAAGTCTACAACTGTACCTCATGGTGTTTCACTAATAAAAATAAAAAAAAAGAGAATCACTTCTGGAAGTTCTTGGGGGCACATATTCAGTGCTGAAGCTGAAAATCATAAAGCAAGCACCCAAACCTCCCATGCTGACCCTTACAGCACCTTATTTTGTCAAACTTTCACTACTAAGAATTCCACCAGCAATGGGGCTGGAGCAATAGTACAGCAGGTAGGGCTTTTGCCTTGCACACAGCCAACCTGGGTTTGATCCCAGGTATCCCCTACAGTACCCTGAGCATGCTAGGAGTGATCACTAAGTGCAGAGGCAGAAGTAATCTCTGAGCACCGCAATGTGTGGCTCCAAAACTGGAAAGAAACGAAGAAAAAAGAGAGAGAATTCCACCAATAAAACCAGGGCCTCCCAAACTATCCAATAGCAACAAATCTTCAAGAGTTCACAATCTCATGCTCCCAAATGTCTCTTCCAGCTTTTTCTCTGGAAACTTGGTTGCCATCCAGCACCTGTCCGTTTCGTGAATGTTGTACAGCACCTCAACAGCATGGCAAATGTCTGTGGTAAACATCTTGGGGGACTTGGGTTAGAGTTGAGTTGATTTCTCCCACAATTCAGAAAGTCCAGCCTCATGGGACACCATATCCCTTTTGCCTCAACCATTCACTCACTTGCCTTCACATCCTGCCCAGACATCATTTCCTCTGTGTAACCCATCTATGGCTTACAAGTTGGCCCCTTGCTCTATTCCTCTTGAATTTTGGAGCGCTCCTGCTAATACTGACAGCTCATGTAAGAATGAAACAGACACCACAGCTCCATCAAACAAAAAATGACACAGTGGATTATGGTTTTCACCACTAAGTTCAGTTTTTAGAAGGGTATTTGGTCACAATCGTCCCTTTGTGTTGTGAAGTTGCATTCACCTTTGCCAGATGATCACTGGTAATTCTCTGAAGCAAAAATGACTAAAAGAGGACATCAGAGCTAGAATACAGCAGGTGGGGTTTTTGCTTTTCATGTAGCCAACCCCAGGTTGATATCCAGCACCCCATATCATCCCCTGAACCTCACCAGGTGTGATTCCTGAGCACAGATTCAGGAATAAGTTCTGAGCACTGTTGGAGTGGCACAGAAATCGCCACCACCAAAAATAAAAGATGAGAAATGGTGGGGCCATGGATGTAGCTCAGTGGTACAGCCCTTGCCCACCATGTACAATAAAAATACAAGGACCTGGGTTCCATCCCCAGCACTGCAAAAAAGAAAAAAGTGGCAAACACCCAAGTGAAAAGGCAATTGCCAAATCTAAATGAGCACATTTTCTTTAGGGAAACGCCAATATTTGAAGGCTTGCCACAGAACATTTGTGTCTTGGCCTGCATGTGGTACCATGCTTGTTCTAGACAAGCCGCGTGGCCTGAGCTCTGTACAAGGATGGAGAGAGTGTGAGACAAGCCTGTTGAATCCACTAGCCAGGCAAAAATCCAAGGAACAAAACGCTAAGGAGCAGCCTGCAGCAATAATTTTTGAGCACAACTTTCTTGCTGGATTTTCAAATGCCAACTTTAGTATGAAGTTGTTGGCAGGAACAGCACTCTAATAAATAACTCTGGGATCAATTTACTTGGCTATAAATTCTCTGCAAGACTGGATCCAGGGCTGTTACCAGCCACCCAGTAAATCGCTCACCAGGAGAGTATTCAAAGCGCTTCCACAGAGTTTGGAGTCATAAAGTGGACAGTGGGCTAATGTCTTTGTCCTGGCTCTTGCTCTTTGGAGCATCTGGCTTCAGTGTCAAGAAACAGC